AATAATAATAATAATAATAATAATAATAATAATAATAATAATAATAAGCATAAAGTTATATTTTAAGAACAGCAGAGGAGCTTTAGAATTATATATATTCTATATTTGCAGATCAATATTGTCCTCTCTCTTTCAACAAACGGAAAAGCATTGTAGAATACAGAGATACAGGTACTCTAAAAGTTGCTCTTGCCTTAAAAACGAAATAAGTTGAATAAATTCTCTATTAATAAATAAGTTGCGTTTTGACTCAGCAGAGCAAAATGTGACACCGAAACCAACACAGTCAAATAGAAACAGAAAACTTGAAATCTCAGCGATAACTATTTTAAAAACATTGCTAAATTATTTTATTAAAACATGATGTTCTTTGAAAACTTGGTTTGATTCTCAGAAAAACCTGCATCTTCACTTTTTCCTTATTTCCCTCTTTTTTTTTCTTCACTAGAGAAATTCTTCACCTCTTCTCAGCATAAACAGCCAGCCTGATGACAATCAGTAACTAATGGCTCTAGCAGCTCCCTCATAAAAAAAAACAAAAAACAATACCCCACTTTCCTCCTTGACATTGTCTTGGGCATGAAGTTCGGCACGCTTGAAAATTAAGGGCAAGAAGATTCAGGAAGAAATCTTTGCTCAGGTAGCGTGTCACATTTCTGTGACCTTTACGAGCCAGAACAATTCCAGGCTGCCTCTTGTCCCTGTATCCGCTTCCTCCTTGCGTCTTTCCCACGCATTGTGTGTGGACAGTGAAGGAAATCTACTCAAAAACACTGCAAACAAAGCTTCATAGGCTGAGTGTGTGTGTATGAGTGTGTGTCTGGTGTGTGTTGGTGTGTGTGTGTAATGGTGTAGAATGTGAACAGAGTTTCCTTTGTTTGGATGGGCTGTTTATTTGGAGATGGTGAGGAAGCCTTGGTGTGTATCTCAGTGGCAGACCCGACCTGGCACAAGGTGAAGCAACATCCACGCTTTCTGCTCTGTCCTGTTTCTGAGGAGTGACACTGAACAATGGAGCTGACGTTGCTGTCTGAAGAAGCATTCACCTTCTCCCCGAAATGTTTAATCCCGCTCACTTGCAGATAACAATTGCTGGAACAAACTTTCTTTTAATAATATTCAATAATGTGCTGACTTACGAAAGGTCCAGAAAATATAGAGGAAGAAAAAAAATCAGCTTATCAAAACTTCCATGATGAATTGAGTTAAACAATATAAGCAAAAATGAACAGGCCAGATTTTTTTAAACGTATTAATCAAACAAGCTGGGAGGGACTGGACTACCCCTGGCGGTCTGTGTGAGAGCTGCAGACCCACTCAGAGCCTGCCAGTTGATGAATACATTTCTTAAAGGGAGCAGTTTTTATTCTGGGTCTACACTCAGCAGAAATGCTCAAAAAGCCTGGAGCGAACAAAAACTGACAAAAAAACAGTTCGACCATCGTTACAAAACAATTACACACTGAGGCAAATTTGCAATTAATGGGAATAAAATAATTCTCTTCAAGCACTTCTTATTAAAATAGAAACAAAGAGCAGATGTTTTTGATGTTTACTAAGTCTGACATTCATCGAAAGGAACAGAAGTCTAACTCTGCGATGTTCTAACTGAACTAATTCACCTGTAAAATATTGGCATCATGCGCTTAACTGACTTCTTACCAGATGTGAGTGACGAGCAGCAGAAGATAACAACGATCAATCTGAGGCAGCCGGATGAGATCATCTCGTTAACTTTGCCAAAAAAAATCCCAACCGTGCGTTGAAAATGATGAGATGAAGTCCCCGATGGAGGCTTTCAAACTCCGGATGAGTCACTAAAAGTCACTTCTCAAAGCACGTACGGGTTAAAGTCTCCTCTTTGCCTTTCCAAAAGCCGTCCGGTAGATCCCTCACATGCAGACGGACAGAGGGGCAGCGGTTCTCCCGTGTCCCATGACGCGTTTCGCGGGGGATCTCTCCTGCGCAGCTGGCTGATCCTCACCAGCTCCCGGTCCTCAGCAGCCGGATGAGCCGATGGACGAGCGGGGCAGGTGCAGCAAAAACTGGGGCACAAAATTCACACTTAACGCTTCGTTACTTCACTTAAGACCTTTGGCGAGTGGGGTTTTCAGATCCACGTCGGTGCTTGGGAAATCTCCCCAAAAGGAAAGATCAATGAGCGCTTTACTTTCATGCGCGCGTTGGACAACTTCTCCTCCTCCTTTTCGGCTCAGCGTCGCACTTACACGGTCCATGCGTGACAAACGTTTTATTGACACACAGAGGAAGGACGCAACGTCACTGTGTTGGGGTGGACACAGTGAAGAGCAGACCTCTCCATACAAAAATGAACAGCGGATATATTTCTAAATGAGGTGGTATCGTTGGTTGGCCAATTATCTCTGGAAATACTTTTTTATGTGCACCTAATCAAGACCATAACTGCACGATGCAGCACGTTCAACACGTCCTCGTTTCATTCAAAGCCACAACATCTACAACTCCTTTGAATAATGATGGGACATTAATTCTTTCAAATGCAATATTCACAGCACAGGGAAGGTCAACAATGCACTTCAGGGTCTCTACAACTCTAACAACAGCACACACAAACAACTAAAACTCCTCAAGTCAAAAAGGACAATGCAGCTGGACTTCAATTGGACCAGTTCTAAAAAAAAGTGTTTGGTTTAGAATTTTTTGTTTGCATTGAATAGAAATTTGGTCTATAATCTACTGCCTTATATTACTAAATGTGGGTTATAATATGTGTTCAGCAGCTAATGAGGCACTGAGCTCATTTGACGCTATTGTCCTGATTGTGGTGTAAAGCATAATATGACTGGCTAACTAACTTCAACATGTCTTTATCTGAAGTCAGTGAGTAGACTTATAATTGCAAACAGTGCATTCATTACAAGTAGATAAATAAACTTTGGTCGTGTACTGATCCAACATCTGTGTAACTCAATCAAGCTGTGCCTAAGGTCAAAGGTTTTCCCTGTTTTATTGACTAAAGAGAAAAAAACAATTAGAGACCAAATAGTTTGTATTGTATCAGACTATATCTGTCCGTGTGTTGCGGATAAACATCAACTTGATTTATTTTTAACCTGAGCAACAGGATGCACTGCTTTTTATAACAATGTAAATAACCCTATTTTGTGCAGCTGGACTCTTCAGTGTGTGGATGTGCTGCAGACTGTTTTCATTTATCACTAAAACAATGCTGTGGGTCAAAGTAGCAGGTATCAAAATGAGAACAGCCCACGCTCACCTTTCCGCCCTCAAAAGGGCTCAGCAGCTAGCATTTAGGACACTGGATGAAGGTGGATGAGGTTCAGCTCAAGTGAGAATAAGCAATCTACTTCTTTCACTCTCCCCTCCCTGTAGCAGGCACAACTCCGATAAGACTCACGAGAACATGGGAAATAATTAATACCATAACTGCTCTGGGAATATGTTTTCAAATTTGGGAATTTGAGACCAAAGTGTCACAACTCAAGAATCCAGAGATGTCTAACACACAGCAGTTTAATTGGATGTCTCTTGATGAAATCAAACAAGGGAATCTTTTTCCCTATATGTATAGGTATAACTCTGTATGGTTCATTTAAAAAACAGAGAACATAAGAGCCTCACAAATGCAGTGATGTTGTCTATTGTTTGTTTCTGAAACTTTGGGCACTCACTGTTAAAGTGCATGAGCGAAGCAGTGCTGAATTTCCCCTCCAGCCTTTCTGGTTTGACCTGCTAAATGTTTATAAAAGCCTTTAGGTTTTAGAGAGCTACATGAAGCAAAAGAAAGCTGAGTTTAGTATGAAACAGTCACGTCTACTACAAGTATCTCAGCATGTGGTCACAATTAGGCCCTCAGCAAAGGAGACATTCCCATTGGGCCGAGAGGGTAACAGATAAGTCTCCTAATGAACAATTGCTGGAAGTTACTTGCTGAGAGGGTGGATTTGAAGTGATTTATTTAAGAAGCTTGTGTTCAAAACACCCTATGGGGGACTAACTGGTTCTACACACACAGCACGAAGTCTTTCTTTTGGTCCAAATGAACCTGTAGAAAGGTCTTTCTGCAGGAGCAAGGAAGACTGGTTGCCGCTTTGCTCCAATGACTGCCTTTAGCCTTAAGTAAAAACAGTGTCAGCTGTCACACAGAATTAAAACTTTGAGTCGGCAAAATAAAAATTTACAGCCCACAATATTAAGAAAACTTTTTCTTACATGATAAAACTCTTACAAATTGCTCTTTTCCAAGGACAAGGCTCAAGGACAGACTTCTGCATGTTTTACAACATGAGGTTAGAAGAAAGCCGTCATCTGTTAAATTTTAAATGTATGAACAGCAGGTGATCCTCAGCTCAGGATGTTTTATCCATAAAAATCAATGGCCCAGAAACTGTTCATACTGGTGTAAAATATCAATTGAATAAATGTTAACACCTAAAAACTGCATTAACAATCTCTTTGTTTCCTTTTAATTCAGGAATGCTGAACTTTTTTCAAGCTCTACTGATTGAAGTACCAGTAGTTTGCGCCACTTGCAGATTTTTGGATTATACTTGCTTTTAAGGAATGTTTCTTAATTTATTTTTACTTTACTTTGTCATGCGATGTCATGACACACTATTGAGGCACTTTAAGTAAAAATATTTCAGAGTGGCTCTTGAAAACATAAATAATCATTTATTTCTAAAAAGTGAAATAATGTTAAGGTAGCCAACATAAAATGTTATTGGGAAAGCAGGAGTCCTCAAACCTGAGCATCATACATCCGCTGAACTGTCCATATGCTCCCTGAACTGGAGTGTGAGCATGGTTCTACAAACATTTTTGCACTGAAAGAAGGAAGAACTATCTAGAATGCCCTTTTGTCTTCTCTTCCTTGAGTCCAAAATACATTTAGCGGGAGAAACACAGCTCTCAGTGAAAGAACTGCAAAACAACATTACTGATAAAAGCAAATATCTGAACAGATTCATATTTGGTATCTATCCATTTTTGTATACAACTTATTCCCAAAGGGGTTGGAGGGGGGGCTGGGGCCTATGATACAGGGTGGAAGGCAGGGTACACCCTGGACAGATCGCCAGTCCACTGCAGCTATTTATATCCATTAAATCTCATCTCATCTAGATTACATAACGAACTCCATAACACACATGAACTTTGCAGAAATGCTTGTAAATGAAAAAGTTTCATTTGGAAAATGCGAGCGTGTAAAAGCAGCGTCCTGAGGAACAGAGCCATTGCAAAAAGGACAAAGTAATGTGGCTGATGTACCCAGGTGTTTCCTGAAGTGGTTGAAGGTTGGAGATTTGTAGCCTCATCAACACCTTAGCTTCTGAAGAGTATGGAGAGGGTCAAGGACAGGCTATCTGACAAGGCTCCTCTGCAAAGCAGTAACTGGCTTTGAAGAAAAAGGAAAATTGACAACATGAGGTCTAAAGGAGAGAACACCTGGTACGCCCAGTATTGTCATATAGCCCTCTTCAAGTGGACAAGATGACCTAAATTAAGCGATTACCCTTCTTCCACTCAAGATGAAGACAATGGTCACTGGTTCAATTTAAGTTCTCGGAAATTTCTCTGTCAGATATGCCTAAAAAAAAACAGTATTTTTTCCTTTCTTTCAATCAAGATGGAAGGTTGAGTATCCTCAAACTACAGGTTATAGTGTCAGAAAATATACATTTCCTGGATTAAAAAAAGAATGTAAATTAAAAATAACACAAATGTCCAATAATAATGGCGTTTCCACTTGTACTTGATGGTTTTGACAAAATGCCAGCAATTATTGTTTCCAGGTAAAAAGTTAAATTAATGTGTAAGCAACATCTTGCTGTAATTTTCTGCAAAAAATCATTTAAGAAACATTTCTTTTTGTAAAATGATAAAACCTCTAAATAGTTATTTATATGTTTAATAGGCTGGGGTGATTTAAAGACTAGACAGATAATAACAACAATAAATAAAAACAAAGACAACAAAACCAAGTGAAAAACGTGATTTTCTTTTAAAATCATATTTTTCAATGGTGCATTCAAGTAATATTGAATAAGTAAACACTCAATGTCTAAGATGTCAAAATATCATATCAGTTTAGTTGTATAATATATTAATTAGATCACATAAACATAAAGATACATTTTGTGTTTAAAATGGAAAATGCCTTGTAAGAAGTTACAAAAATGTTTTGGTTAAGAAACTGTGAAATGAAATACAACTTCTTTTTAGCGAAGAGAAATGACGAGTTCCCAGTGCCCCCGAATGTGGCATTGCTTGTTCATTCTTTTTCGCGGGCTTTTAAACCAGGTCAATCCACGACAGGCGGTCTTCGGAGTAATATATAGCTACGGCAATTTATTGTGTACTGAAAACTTTAATATGGAGCAGTTTGTATCTACTGTTAGAAGTGAGTTACGTCTGTCTTGACTACACCGAGCCACCTTTAGCTTTGTATTGCTTTCAAAATACAGGTGTAATTTTACCTAGCAAGGTCTTTTATCAAATTCTAGGTTGCCATAGTTACAGGCTAGGCTACATTGATCAGGCTAAGTGTGTTGCCCGAGTTAGCTACCCTGTGTTTTCATTACAGAATTAACAGTTTTTATGTTAAAGTAAACTTTATTCAATTATATATTTTTTAATTTTATATCGAAGGTCCCATTAGAAAGATACTGTACTGTTAGTTAGGGTCTTCATATCCAGTTTGTAATGTTGTTCTGCATTAGCGTCTGTAGTAAAGTAGTACAATGTCTTTCAAGTTTATATATGATAATGAACTATCCTCTCTTTCAGTTTTTACATTTTTATTTCTCTCGCTTAAACTGTTGAGACCCACAATCCCATTTGAAGAGTGCAGCCACTCTTTAGCTTCTAAAGTTTAGAATTATGTTGAATTTCCAGAAAGTCAGTAACATTTTATTCAAAATCCATTTCAGTCCAATCTGTCTGGATGACAAATAAGTTTATTTGGTTTTGTTAAACTAATTCACATATACAGTATATTTCTATACCCACCTATTTCCAGAGGGACTGTAGGGGGTCTCTATCCTATGCCAGCTTTAACTGGGCGAGAAGCGGCACGCCCTCCCTGGACAGGTCACCCGTCCATTCCCAGGCCACACAGAGAATAAAGATACAAAGAACCATGCACAATCAATCCTACGGTCAATTTACAGTAAATAAACCTAACATTAATATTTCTGGGATATTGGGAGGAAGTCTTGAGTATTCAGAACCCAGTCATAGACGGGGAGAACATGCCAACTGGCCACACAGATAGACCAAGATTCAAACACCATCTTTCTTCCTGAAAAATCTAAACTTTATTGAATTTTAGAATACTTTAATCATATAGATGTTAAGTCTATTTTTAAAAGGGAGAAAGAAAAGAGAAGAAACTGAGGCTTGAATATTTTAGAAAGTCATTACAGTGGATCATGATAATACAAACCAACACAGAGGTTAAAGGGCTTTAATATCAAATAAAATATTTAAAATGTTAAATTAGTTTGATTTTACCGCAGATGAGACAACCTATCAGACGCTGTCTTTTTTGTATCCTATCAATATGCTTTAATTTTCTGTCACTGTCACTCAGGTCTTACAGAGAAACTCCTGCAGAAGCATTTCTCAGATTATGATGAGGTGATAGAAAAACTCTTCTCTGAAGTCTCTGCCAAAGAGACCTTTCCCAAAACGGCAGATCCTCAGGTAGATGAAGTCATGTGATCTTACTACAGTTGTATCCCAGGGACGTGTTATAAAAGTAAAATTGAACGAAAGCTACTAATGACTTGTTTATTGGACAGTTGTGGATGTTCATATGTTATTTATAATTTATTTAGGGACAGAGGATTAGCTGTACATTTCCTCTCTTACAGATAGAGGAATGTGCCATCCAGCTGTGGAACTGGGCAGTTACTAAGAATGTGGGCGCTGCTATCTGTAAAATTCAGAAAGCTAAAGGTACCACTCTGGTTTTAATAACAATAAACATCTTAATGCTTTGGGGGGTTGAGAGCAGGGTTAGTCGCAGTCCCATTACATCATATTCAAAGTTTTTTCACCATTCTTTCAGTGCGACATGTCGCAGCCAGTCTGCTGTACTGCTGTGAGCCTGACAATCCAACAGAGGGCACCATCCGCAAACAGATCCTGGTAAGGAGCCACAATGACCTGCTTTGTGAGAGCTCAGCATATCAGGAAAACAAGGCCTGTTTGTCAGCATCCAATCTTTACAGATGGCCAGCAAAACAGGGAGAACCTGGCTGGACTGCAAAAATCCCCAGATGGCAGATGTTTTCTTAAGACATGCTGTCAAGGTGAAGAAAAAACCCAGAAACTATGAGTCAGCAAACAAAAGAGCAAACACAAAATATGTTTGCCTTACAAATTATTCAAATTGCTTCATCCCCAGAGCCTGGAAACCCTCTACAGCCTGCTAACATCCAGAGGAGAGGCAGCAGGTGACATTACTTCATCCAAGGCGGATGTGGAGAAGGACCTACTTCGAATATTGTCATGCCAAGCAGAATCGGTGAGCTGGGGCGCATGTGATGTTTGACACCTCCAATGTGAATATTTGTTCTTGTGATATTTGGCATCTCAGGAAGTGCTGTTCTGACAGACTTGCTGTGTGAAGTGTTAGACAGCTAAAATGTGAACTGAGAAACAATGAGATGGGGAAATCTTTAATAGCTGACAGGGTGTATCACGCTGTTTGCTGACATTTAGAAGAAACTTCAAGTCTGATCCTCTTTCCAGGCCATAGCTCAGGGCAATAACCAAGAGGCAGTGGCCTATGTACAGCGCTGTAAAGACATGTTGCTGCAGGTACCAAAAGATGTAAGAAAAAGCCCATTTACCTCTCCTCCTGCATTATATATCGATTTATCCCATTCACGTATTGTTCTTTAAAATGAGGGGGATATTAACAATGAACACACTCTCACAATACAGACGGCGTACCTTTCCCTCATGTGTTACAACTTTGGTATAGAAACGTACAATCTAAGGAACTTTGAGGACAGCACATTTTGGCTGAGGTAAATCTGGTCTTTCATGTTCACAGAAAAAAATGTTAAGAAAACAGTGAAATGAAAAAGTTAACCTCTTTTTTTTCAGCCAAAGCTATGACATTGGAAAAGTGAACGTGAAACACGGACCTGGTTCTGAAGTACTGGTAAGATAATGGAGCCCAGAATGACCCGGGTAAAAATGTAAAACAGCAATGTTTATATGCTCTTAATTTTCCTCACAAAGGCCAAGGTTTTACGGCTCCTTGCCACAGTTTATTTAGAGTGGGACTGTCAAAGGTTTCATGAGAAGGCTCTGAACGCTGTCATTTTAGCCAATAAGGTGGGATATGAGGTATCATTTTTCTATTTTTTAATAAACATTTAAAACATAAACATGCTCTGAACCTGATTGTTATGGTGTAATCTGGCAGGAGAATGTGAGCACATCTGGGCTTTACTTAAAGATCAGAATCCTCCTGAGATGTGGGGCCCCAGACAATCATATCAGAGCAGGTTAGTTAACACCCGACCACAATGAATTATTTATGCAGAATTTGATTAATGTCAGCAGCTGTGGGGTGTCATTTCCTGAGAATCTTGAGAAATAATTTGAAAAATAATAAGGTGTTGTTACTTTGATCCTTTTCAGACTACTCTTGATACTTGGTACAACTTGGGTCAGTTTTTGCTTTAGAGCAAGTGTAAAAGATGACTATTGTTCTTGGAGCCTGGAAAGTGTTTATTGGTCTCTGGAAGATTTAAACTGCTGCAGAAATGTGCATTTAATCTCAGATAACAAACATGTGTCCTCAGGACTTGATGAGATGCTGGAGAGTCAGGTTTCTCTTGAAGTTTCTCTGAGCACAGTGCAGCTGCTCATGTCAGAGGACAGGTACAAACCTTAAAGTGTTTGCTGTTTTTTTAGTATTCGTCCTTAGGTGCCCATATATGCCGTCTTAAGATTCAGATACAGTATTTACTGTCCACCTCTGACTGATAACTGTTGTTTTGATTCTAGAGACGTGCTGGGATTTGAGTATTTGAAACGAGTGTGTCAGCACTTTGAGTCCTCCCCTGACCTGGGAACTGCTCTGGTTTTGCACATTGAACTGCTGCTACAAAGAGGCAAAGAGCTGCTGGGCAAACAGAAGATAGAAGATATAATTAATGGTAATTTACTTTTAGATGCGGTTCTTTGATAAATCTGAAATTGGGATGGATTTTGTAGTTAGCAGGCAATGTATGTTGTATGTTTCCCACTCCCACACAGGTCACTACACTGGGAAACAGCTGGCTCCACAGGCACTCACCAGAGTACATGTTATTCTGTGGGATCAGGCATCCAAACACTTTGAGGTGAGCCTTGTTTATCCTCACATTTAGTAGTGACATCTTGTTACTGAAATTCTCTAAAACAGAGTAAGGTTGTAGATCCCCTGAAGGTTTCAGATTTTCTAGCTGGCTGTGTTATATGAGGATGTAGACCTTAGGTCAGAGTGGAAACTGCCGATTACATTTATTATAACAATACATACATGTCTAGTTTGTAAAATGTAATGTGAGACATAGTGCAGCATTCCTTCACCAGGTAACTCATCCCTAACGTAAGCAAATTGTTAGAATTAACTAATACTCTGTGATTACTCAGCCTAGGTTTTACAGCAGGTGAATGCAGCGTAATGTGCTCACTGCACAATTTTAGCATTCTACCGCGGCCTCAAAATCACTCATTAACAGCCGTAAACTGTAATTTTGTGTTGGCTGAAAACTCAATTATATTTGGCCATTGCATTAATGGAGATGTTTTCATGTCTGCAGTTTTTTATACCTCTGTTTTCTGCTGTGAGTCATGGTCATAAGATAAAGACTTCTGTTTTAAGGGTATCACTGGACAAATGTCGCTGGTTTGCCTTTAAATGTTTAATTGTTTTCAAAGTTACATATGTATAACATATATGTTACGTGTTGTAGCATGGACTGGAAACGGTTTGTAGTTAACAATAATTTGTACATTTCTTGGTTCTGTATTGTGGCTTTTCCTTGTTCCTCGTCTTGGATAGATTTGGTTTGTATACATATATATATATATGTTTATACTAGTACTTTTTTTTTTAAACTTAACACAAAAAAGTAAACTTCATATGTGTGCTTTATTCCAGGCCTGTAACTTTTCTGAGGCTCTTCAGTGGTATAACTACTCCCTAAGTTTCTTCAAGGCAGGCCAAATGGACCCAAACTTAGCCAAACTGCAGAGGAACAGAGCATCTTGCTTCCTGCATCTTAAGCAGTTGGAAAAGGTAATTGTGTTACAGAAGCCATTGGTAAAATAAATCTGCTGCTCAGGAGCTGAATGAGGAGGTGCATGTTCAAATTTACTTGTTACTTACTGTGTTTTAGGGGTGAAATGGTCAATGGTCCCACTCATTTTTTAAACAGTTATTCATGTAACCTATGTGTGAATTTATATTGAAACGTGTTTTCTCAGGCCAAAGAGGCTATTAAAGAAGCAGACAGATGTGATCCTGAGAGCATCTTCACTCAGTTCAGTGTTTACGAGATAGCTGTGCTGGAGAGTAACGTGGACAAAGGTATACAAGACATGAGCTGTGTGATTCATGCAAAGAGATGCATGGCATTGACGTTGCTGTGCCATGCTTAATAGATATCTGGTATATTCAAGTTGTCTGATTATTTTTTAAGCTGCAGAGGCATTGAATGCGATGGCGCTGCTTTCAAAGAATCCGGTTTCCAGTGAGGACAAACTGCTGGTTCCTGAGCGTGCGGCCTCCTCTCTCCTCAGCCTGGCCGCTCAGCTTGCCCTGGAGGTAGAATTATTCAATTCCCTCACTGCATATTTCTGGACGCCGAGCGTAAAAAGGTGGTCTTATGGAATGATTAACACATTTCCCAGTCTTATGGTATTATGATGATGAGATAATGTCTCATCAGTGCTACTTGCAGCTTGGACAGACAGTCAGTTTAACACAACTGAAAGTGTTTATGAGGGGGAAGGTGATGAGGGATCATATCCTCATCGCTTAGATCATATTTGGTGAATGCCTCATTTGCAGTAATAATAATTTCACACTTTTTATGAAAAATCTTTACATTTGAATAAAAAAAAATGGATGAACTGAAGCTTTGGCATGTTGTAATTACAATAGTCAGCAAACACACGGGCAGCAGACACTTTTTAGAGTTTCTCCTGTCTGTGTTTTTTTTCCCTGTGACAGAATGGACAGCAGGAAACTGCCATGAAAGCACTGGAGGCAATGTGTGAATGCTCCAAAGATGAAGCTCAGGTTCTGGCTGGTTTAAGGTCAGTGAAAACTAAAATGAGACATAAATGTTGAAACAGTCCCAATTACATCTGAAACAGTGAAAAAAAAAATACTGGAGAACCTTTCATATATATTGAAGGTTGACAGCAGAGAGTTACCCAGTTGCTTGGATAGTTATCTCTTTTTAATTTATAATATTCCTGAATCATTTTCTCAGTGACTGGACTCCACACGACTTTCGATATCAACTAATGTGGGAATAACCTTGTTTTAGTCCTAAAATAAAAAAAATTTTGTTTTCTTGAACTAAGATAGGATACTCACATACCCAACATTGGTATTCAGTTCATGTGCAGACTCATTATGCCTCAGATAAAGTTACATTGGTCGTGTGCTGATTTCTGTGACTCTGCTAGTTTTCCCTTCCCCTCTCTGATCCACTAACATACTTTCTCTCCCTACTTCTCAGAAAGTGTGTCTCTGTATAATAGAGTTAGTAGGTGGGAAAAAGGAGGTCATCACCAGACTCTCCATTCATTTTTTTTTACAGGTGTTTGGTTCGGCTTGTGCTGTCCACTATAGAAACATCAACAGATGAGATGAGGTGAGGAAAAAAGGAACAACCATATGATGATGTAGTTTCCCTGGTGCAGGCTTTTCATCAAATACATTAAATCCACACAGAACTGTGAATCTGGATGTCCTGCTGCCATACCTAAAGATGGGTGAGTAACAGGCAACCAGCCACTTGATGTCTCATTCTGCTGTGCACCATAACCTTCAGAGCTTTTGTTTTTCACCTATTCAGCTCTGCAAACACTTTCACACCAGTCTCACATGACTGCTGAACAACGCTCAGAAGAAGCTAACTGGTTCAGAAAGATTGGTACTTTTTAGTTTAGCTAATCCCATCTAATACATAATGCCATCACCTAGCAGTGTCTCATTGTTTCTAAGTAACTCTGTTCTTTTCTCAGCCTGGAACTTAGCTCTGCAGTGTGAGAGCAGGCCTGAGAAGATGAGGGATTTCTTTCTCTTATCTTACCAGGCAAGTGCTCTTATTGGCTTTGGCAGGTCCACTAATTGATGTTTATTGTAGATAAAGAACACCTGAGCAGGGATTAAAGAAATAAAAAATCAGCAGCGCCACAAAAACGTACAAATACTTAGAAACTGCGTGTCCTGAAAAGTTTCTCAAATTGAACTCAAATTAAATCTGTCTTTTTAAAAGTGTTTGAACCTGTAGAAGCCACATCTAAAAAGGAAAGTGGTATCCAAAAAATTAGGAAATTAATCCCAACACTAACACACACAACTAAACTGAGGAAATACATTTTTTCAAAATGAGCTAAAGGAATAAGTCTTCATTCCTGCAGAATACATGAGAAGAGCTGCTGTCCACTGTGGTTGTTGTCCTGCAGAACAGTGTCGGACATTGTCGTACGTTCCCGAAAATGAACGTTTTCCTCTTGGGAAAATATGTCACCTAAATTTATACTTAAGTTTCAGAAAACCTCCCAAATTATTTTTGTGAATAACTGTTCTTGTTCATAACTATTCTCCTACCTACTTCTTCTCAGAAATGTTATGTTTGAATACATAAATAAACATGATATTAAATGTAGTGAAAGGAAAATCTAAATGTCAGATTTGCTTGTTAAGGTTTTATCTTCTTTTGGTCTGAAGACGTCCATGTTATGGGAGTAAATCGAGCAATATCTCAAAACTGAAATCTTCTCGTTTAATATTTTCACTCTGAAGCATGTACATCCATGTATGAGACCACCTTTGTACCATTAGAAGCCTCTGCTTTTCAATGCCAAGCAGCTGTTTCAGAGAAATTTTAATAAATGACTTGTTTTCCTTTCTGAGCTCGTTGCTCAGCCAACTAAAGCCACAGCCCTCCTCTTTGACTTGAACTGGCCCCTATTTAAGTCAAAGAATTTTCAAAAGTGCAGAAACGTATTTATGTCCCTCTGCATGACCCCTCAGGTCTCCCAGATGTGCCCTCCTGACCGCACACTGCTCATGGGCCAGAGGACCTGTCTGCTAATGGCTGCCGCTGCCTCTTTGGAGCTCTGCAGAATGTCTCCTCACTCTGCTCAGGTGTGCCACCCACTCCCCATCTCCTAGATTTAGCACACTCTCCATCTACGTGGAAATTTACCAAGACCAGTGGAGAGGAGAGGTGACTAACAACATTATCTGTTCAGGCGTAGGTGTTTTTATTTTAATCCCCTCTTCCTTTGAAGAGGGAACAAACACTAGATGGCGACAGTAAACCCAGAATACTTGTTATGGGTGTCTCTTTGGTTCACAGACTGAGGAGCTTACACAGGCCCTGGAGTACATTCAGACGTGTTGGGAGGTTTGGAAAACCCTGAAAGCATCGGGTACATAAAGAAGCTTTTCTTTAAAAAATAATAGAAGTGTTTAATTACACCTGATTTTCAGGCCCACCATGAATCTGAACTGACTTCAAGAACATTGTCTTTCTGACAGGAAGCTTTCCAGTGGACCCCACAGACTCACTGCTACTGCTGTATGAATTTGAAGCTCGTGCAAAATTGAATGACCCAAAGGTTGAGACCATAATGGAGTCAGTTCTGGAGCTGGAAATTGTTGAAACCAAAATGCTGGAAACCATGGCAGGTAAGAAAAACGATTCAGATCTCAGTTAAAGACACATTTACTTTTTTGCAATACGTTTTTGCAATATTAATTGTATGTTATTCCACCTTAACAAAAGCCTTAGCGATGGAGTCTCCGGCCCATTTCCCTCAGCTGTGTAAGAGGGCCCTGAGAATTGCTCTATCTCTGCATCGGAAGCAACCACAGGCTGACCTGGTCCACTGCAGGCATTGAACACTGCACGAAAAACAAACTCGATCAATTTTCAAGAACATTGTTAATTGGATGAAAGGGTTTTAATCGTGTGGATGTTTTATGCATTTTTCTCTCAGCAAGTGTGTTCATAGTCTGATAAAGCTGTCACTCCCAAGTGGTGTGTCAGAAGTGGAGGACCGGGTCCTGGACGAGCTGTGGGACTACTACGAGGAGGCCCTGTCCATCATAGAAGCCGCAGTGAGTCAGCACCAACCACACATCGACAACCCTCAGCTCCCACCTCCTGTTCCAACAGAACTGCTCCTCGCTATATAATTAACCCCCTCTCCTCCACTTCATGCTTGCCCGCTGTTCTAGAAGCCTCTAGTTTTCCTTTTTTCTTTATCAATGGGCTTTCAGCCGCACTTCAATTAGCAGATGCTTCCATTCACCGCCTCTTCCTGCCAATTTGAATGTTAATGTGCTGTACAAATCATAACACTGCCGGTGAGCTGCAGCTCTGAAAGAGACATGGAATTATTGAGACATCATGCTGCTTTAGAGGCTGTGCATATTTCCCCTTTCAGAGTGAGTTCTTACTTGAAAGCTGTTCAATTCTTTGGATCAAAGTAAATGGACAACGTTGAAGTGTGAAATGTGAATGAAATCATGAAAATTCATGGACCATTTTCAGCACTAGCAAAGGTTAAAACACAAATTAACAAGATTTTGTGAAAGTTCGCTCGAGTCTTGCTGCTTCGACCCTACAGAAGCAAATCTTTTTCAAGTGAGCCACCCAGGTGGCGTCAGTTAAACGGCCCTTTGAACATCTTCCTGCTCTCTTCTGCAGCCGGACGACTTCCCAGAGATGGAGACCCTGTGGTTGTTAACTCAGGCCTGGAACACTGGAATACTGTTGTACAGCTTGGCTCAATACCCCAAAGCTGAGAAGTGGTGTGGCCTTGCCATGAGCTTCATCCGCCACCTGGGATCTCTGCGAGAGAGCTACGAGACGCAGGTAGAGAGCCCACGTAAAGGGATGAAGCAGTTACAGTAGGACTGAGAGGGAATAATCCTGCTTCTGACTAACATTTAGGTTTATAAAAAATAGGAGGAGGATCAGTTCAAATTTGAAACTGCAGCCTCCCTAAACCGTGTTTTTATAAATCTCTGATTGAGTTTCCTCTGTACATGATTGCAGAGGTGGCTGAAGAAACTGGTACTGATGGGGGGGGGAGTTCATGATGCTGGTATCAGTCTGTCATACAGCGGTTTGTGTGCCCTCAGATGTCTGGTCTCTACAGTGAAATCCTGGACAGGTTGGACAAAGTGAAGAGAAATAACATCACAGAGGAATAGATGGACAGATCAGCTGATATCACTAAATTGAATGGCTTCACCTTTTGTAAGTGAACTTTGTAATTCTTCAAGTTAATGAAGAGCACTCATCACAGAGCAGTTTGATATGTTACTTCAAATGAACTGAGCTGTCATTGAATTTAAGACTACCACATACGTTTGGTTGCTGTTTGTATACCGTAAATGGCTGGTAGCAAACCCACCTTTTCCCCCTCCCAGTGCTAGTGAATAAAAGATTAAACATGAACAAATAACCTGCATCATTTCAATAACTCTGATTTGCAAAGCCACTTAAATCAGAACAAGAACATCAAAATCATAACTGAGTCACATATTTTATTTTCAAACAAATAAACTCTTGTCAAGTCCCAAATTAAAACCCAAACAAAAGTTGCAGGACTGCGTTCCCTCATGACTAGGACAGGGAAGACCATGAGGCCGAGTGTCCTGATAGGCTGTACCACCTGCAGTGACAGGAAGGAAACTACTGTACAATCAAAGGGTTCATGTTTGCAAGCACTTACTGCACAGATGTGCTATAACATAAACATATCATCACCCAAAAGTACAAACAAGAACCCTGCCCCCCCCCACCCAAAAAATAAAAGCATATACGTCACCATTTCTCTCATCAGAACGACCCTCATCAGTTATACACACACAGAGGCATTCAGGTTCCCTCTTGTTACCGCGACCTCAATGGAAAGGGTAAAATGAAATCAAGTTCTTTGGGCTTTGACATGGCTGACTGAGGTATGAATACCACACATTGTTAACAGTCAGCTGTATTTAACTAAACACCAGAGAGGACCAACTCTAAACTTCTAATGTATTGATCAATGCTCCTGGTCTCTGTGATATCGTGTAGGTTTCTGCCTGCTTCACTTTATTTTACAATATTTAAATCTATACACCCAGACACGTTCCACAAGAAATCACATGTAGACAGGCCCTACTCGAGGGAACCGAGTCCCCAACTGACTAGTTAAGTGTTCCAATAGGCATTTGAAGTAAAATACCAACAATACAGCACATTTGTATGGAAATTATATCTCAATAGTAGCTCAAACTTGACTTACCTGACATTAGTGGTCTATAAAACATGTTTGTCCCAGTTTGATTCACACATGCATGAAGCACAGGTGAGGGGATCTGCTGGGGGCTTATTTACACAGGTCAGCTACTACACCCTTTTGAAACAGTCTGCAAGCAGTTTTATAAATGGCTCTGTTCCCTTCGGTTATTCCCTGAACTCTGGTTTTGACACAGGTAATGACAGCTGGTTTAGCAGTGGTGCCTGGCAGGTGGGCACACCTGTTCAGAAAATGCCTGCAGGTACAGGTGCTCTGTGGGTGGGAGAGAGCAGGGGGCCCAGAGGTCTGGTTAACATTTCTTGTGGGGTCTGACTGAGAAAAAAAAAAAAAAAAACTTTTGTAGATATACACGATGCACTCTTCATCAAGCCGATTAGGAAAGGGAAGGTGTTGACATGATCCTGGGCCACAGCGCCTTTCCTCCAGACGAGCCCCCCGACATGCACACATTCACACACAGTGACAGATCTGCATGGAACAGTGGAGCTGCTCATTTCAATCCTGGTGATGCCACACAGCAAAAAGGTTACCAAATGGCCTTGAACAAGCTCCCAGCCCCACGAAAAAGAAACCTCAACCCAAACCACGCTTACGCCGCCTGTTTGACAACACCTTGAAATCATTTTCAGTGCCTTCCTTAAGTACTTGCGCCCTCATGTTTTTCTACCATGTCACTGCCCACACGTGGCCTTTGAGTCACAGGGGAAATGGTATCAGAATGTTAAGATTCCTGAGCTGGTCTAGCTCACCCCAGACACACCAAGAGCTCAACACAGTGGTCCAGTACCTGCTAACGACAGAGTCATTAAAAATTCATGTTCATAGATACACAAAGCGTAAAAGTTTACTCAAACCCAACTTTAGTGTTGTATTTGGAAGGGGGACAGGGGGGACAATCCAAAACAGGTTATACTGACTCTTAATAGTTAGAACATCCAATACAATTATTGTCTTGTTCTACCCGTTTTAAAGCCGCCACAATGGCAGCAGATAGGACAGTACCATGTGACCAATCAGAAGAGAATCCTCTGGGAAGGCAGAGAGTGTAATAGGGTGGTCTGCTGCTCAACATGAGTTAGGAGGCTTTGGCTTTTCAAATTCTAATCCAGTGGCCAATTTTTGTTCTCAATTTCACCAAAAAAAGTAAAGCTGAAAAACAGGGAAGAGAAAACGGTGCCCACAGCGGCGGGACTTGAATCAAAAGGTTATTTAAAATGTATTGCACTCAATATCAGACCTCCTGACAGTTGGAGGACACAAAAGTACGAAAAGATGAGAGATCGTTTCCTCTTTTCTCGTCAGTTGTGTGCAGCCTCCCTCACAGACAACAGGTAGTCACAAAACAGAATTTGTATTTGATGTAAGGCAGTTTGGTGTTTTGCAGAGAGCCCGGTTACACTTCTCTACCCTCAACCTTTACAGAGCAGCTAAAAACCACAAGCGGAAAAAAACAAAAAAACAAAACAAAAAAGAAATCCCACCAGAAAAAAAAAAGACTAAAGAAAACTAACAACCCTCCAAATGGACAATTCTGGTGAAGTGTAAAATGTGTAGTTTTTAATATGTAGTAAAATCTCAGTAGGATTTTATCATTTATCTTGTGATTTCATAATATAAATGTTGAGATTCACAACGCATTTCTTCCTCTTCATCTGCCTCCCAAGACATCTTCATCGGCTGGCAGACGACCAAACAGCAAGCTGGTTTATGATAAACAGATCACCAGTTTTTGAGGCTCCACTCGTTTCCTCAGTCAGTATAAACAAGAGTGATGACTCCTTGAACAGTACCATCAGCAGGGCTCTATTTGATTCAGTCTTTAGGAAAAAATCAACAAAAAACAAACCAAAAAAAACCCCAACAAAATCTTAATTGGTCTTCAACTTCTCACTGTGTCTTTTAAAATGTGATTTGATGAACATTTACAAAGTGTTTTTAACTTGGTATGATTTGTCTCTGTTCCCCTGCAACTTCTTTTTGAATCCCAACTCCTCTTCTGATTTCTGCACAACATTCTGATCTTCAGGCAGTTCCCGATCACCAAAGGATTAATTCCTTTTCCCTTCTTTGTTTTCATTTGACAAATTCCTTTGGAATGGCGTTTCCAGTCTTGAATGGATTTGTTGAGAAACTCATGCAGGGGTGTGCACAGTCACAGTAATGGTGATAAGATTTCTTTTTCATTTAGAGTAACATAATGATGACACTAAAACTTGATATGAAACATATCTGCAAAAAGGAGCTGGGGTTGGGTGGGGAGGTGGGGGCTATGTGGGTGGGGTCTCTGGGGGGGCAGGAGGGGGCTCTGTGTTGGAGAGCGGACGGCAAGGAGCTCAGAGCTTCTCTGAGGAGGGGATCCAAATGTAGGGCCCAGACTGCTCCTCAATGATCAGCTTGATTTTGTTGTAGATCTCCTCTAGTGAGTCACCCTGTACAATAGCTGGAGAGAGATCAGGCAGACAGCAGATCAGGTTAGTTGTTCTGGCCAAAAGGTCAAATATCACTTTGGTGGAGGCTACAAATTGGCAAATTTCATATTCAGTTGTCTAAATATTCCTCCTCCCTGGTTGTTTAGAGCCGCAGATGACTGCTCTGGACAGATGTTTCACATCCAGTGGCGTTATTTTTGTGTCGTAATCACAACATTTCTCACATTGGCCAACCGTTCGTTACAACAGTAAAGGGACAAATGGCAGACAATTGTATCATGTAAAATATGCAGAGGGCTGAGACACCAACCTGTGAAAAACTCTCCAAAGTCTTGCTCCAGCTTTACTGCCTTGTCAAAGACTTTATTAGCCTGTTCATACGTCTGTCTCTTATTCATTTCCCTGAAAAAAACAGGGGGGGAAAAACAACAGTGGTTACAGGGACTTTAACACACTTAGACCTGATGACATCTTTATTACAACATCTGCAAAGAGTCCTACTTACATTAGAGCTTCAATGGATTTTGGTTTTATAAAGATGGCAATGGGATAAAGTTGTGCTTGCTGCAGTCGTTTTATGGCATTCCCGGACACATCCAGAATGCAGTGTTTCCCCTGTGGGCAAGTAGAGGAAGTTCTGGTAATGCTGTGACATAACACAGCACAACATTACATCTAACATAACTGGCTCGTCTGGTGCCACCAGACAGGACTGCTATACCACTCTGGTATAGCAGTCCAACATACAAACATGAGGCGCCTACCCTCTCTGCCACAGTTCTGACAGATAAGATGCTCGTCCCGTAGAGGTTCTCATTAAACTGGCCGGCCTCAATGAATTTATTATCCTGAATGTCTTTCTCCATTTGCTCTCTTGAACCCACAAAGTGATAGTCCTGGCCGTCTATCTCGTTCTCTCGCCTTGGTCGGGTTGTATCTGCAGAGGCAAATGGAACAAGTTTATTTTTGTCGCTGGTGTTATGTTTAATGTGCCATGAAGAGGCGCAGAGCGCTAACTCACGGGGTACACATGAACCGAACTTGTGGGGAAACTCAGAGATGAGGTCATCATTTACTCTGTCCTTCATCGGGCCCAAAATGATCACAGGTCTTGTGTAGTGTACTGGAGACAGAGAGGATGTGAGATGTAAAGAAAAATAACAACAAAGACACAGAGTTTAATGAACTATAAAGATTCCACTCACTTTCCTGTCGGATGACTGGCTCATAGGAAAGGATTGTGTCCTCTTGACCCTCTGTTAGGAAAAGGAAGACATTTTTAGAAACAGATGTTGTTTGAAAAGTAAATGGAAGGGCATCGACTGGTGTCGGTATGTTTGAAACAACCAGAGAGGACAGTAGGAATTCAGGCGACTCACTCGAACTACTTTCACTGTCACTTGTGTTGGATGTCAGGCATTCTGCAAAAGCAAAACAGTGTCAATTTTCAAATCGACCAGAGCCACACTCACATAAATGCTCTTCTTAAGGGTGAGTGGGATTTTCACCTGCTTAAACAGTCTGAGGAGAACAAAGCAAAGGGAAAACAACCTGGTCCCCAACAACTAGGCCAACCACAAAAAGGGAATAACGAAAGCAGAAGTCTGTTTGCTGCAGCAGCCAAGCTCTTGCAATATTAGGGAAGTGGTTTAAGGTGCCAGCAATAGGAAATTAAGAGTTTCCTGTGACAATGTCCCAAATGAGCCTCAATTCCCTGGCCAATGTTTCCTATTGCTAGATCCGTGCCTGTGGCAGCAGATCTCGTATCAGAGAAAACATACAGGCGTTCCGCTGTCCACGGGAGGGGGGGGGGGGGGAAGGGGGCGGAATCGGGAAAACTGCAGGAAAAAGTGTTTCCAAACACACAGAGTGACACTGCTCTGGTGACAGATGTATCGTTCCTCTGTGTGACTTCAAATAACAAAACTCTACTAAAGATGTCTTCCCAAGGACCCCAGGAGAGAATCAGTCACCCTGACTCCCCCCTCCCATTGGAATGCACCTCTTGTATGTTCTGTGAATCTGAGTGGGTGTGCGTGAGCGCACACATATAGGTTTTGTGTGCATGTGTGTGTGTCACTAAATGTGTGTGGTTTTTGCATTCCCAGCTGGGCCTGCAGTGACAAAGCATTTTCTGGGGACAGCTGCTTGACACAGTACAACCACACACTTACTCAAACTCTTTGATCCATAAAAGTCATCGCTTAACCCTGGGAAGTCCTAGGTGTCCCGACAGGTGAGAGCAGAAACCAAGAGAAGAAAGCAGACAGGAAGAAGAAGAGGTTAGTGAGAGTCGGGCAGAGGAGGAGGAGAGGAGTGCGGTGTGGTGCTCACCAGGCCCGCTGACACACAGCGCTGTCCTGATCATTAAGCTGAGCTCCACTTTGTTAACGGTAAGCCTCTGCCTTTCAATTACACACACCAATCCCATTAAAACAGGATTTTGACCTGTTAGGTGTTAAAGTCCTCTTAATGAGATTCTTCTTGTTGTGGGTCAGAGACCGACTAGAGAATTGACGACGATTTAGACGAGGGCTAGCGTCTCAGTTAGAAGGCCTGTGTGTTAATGCAGCCAAGAAGTTGCAAACACAGTTGGTGGCGCAAACACACACACACACACACACACACAGCGGCACACTCCTCTGGAGCCCACAGCTGCACCAGAGAGGAAGCCCACATGTCCTGCCTCATGATGGCAGACCCGCCATGTGGGGGATCTCTCTGGCACAGTGAGAAAAGGGATGAGAATGGTGCCATCACACAAACCATCCCGGAAGGCGAGCGGAAAGATGAGAGTTGAGAGACAGCACTGAAGCAGGAAGGGGAAAGGACAAAAACAGAACCCCCCTCCATCACACAGCTGGTACTCACGTTCAGACTCCACCAACTCCTGCACAATATTCTCCTTGCTCTTGTAAAACGGGAACTTGCGCGAGAGGTTGAAGCTTTTTTTGCGCTTTACTTTTACTGGCTGCTTGATGCGTGGGTGAGAGAGGGGGGAGGGGCAATGAGAGGGCAAAAAACAAAAAACAGACTGGGTTTCAATGAAGGTACTCAACAAGCATGCCACAAAAGAAAAATGATATGTAACAACGCACATCAAATAATGAGAACGAGAAGCAGGTGATGGGTGAAAATGACACATCGATGTGAAGGAAACAGACGTCTGTTCACCAAATTGAAACATTGCCATTTCAAAAGATTTAATCTCCTTGGATATTACAGGCAAGGATTATTTAAATATGGCAGATTAGTCCCTGATCGACCTGCAGACATGTTGTGATTGCACATGGCTGAATTGAACTGCAGGAACTGCAGAGGTTACGTCTCTATGGAGCGTCTGTAATCTATACGGTAACATGAGAGCTCTTTGTGCTCGCTCCAGTGAGCAGATGCTGCTCCCTTTCCCACACTGAGGGGGGAGCAGGCCTTCTCCCTGGGAGCCCGGCAGCAGCTCTGAGGACGGTGGCTCAGGCGCTGGGGCCGGGAGCAGCTGGGCCTCTGCACTCACCCTGTTGGACTCAATCATGCCCGTCCTCGCGTGGAACTTGACTGTTTTTAATCGGGCCCGCTCCTTCTTTTCCACTCTGGGGAAACAAAGACAGATGTATTTGTGGGTCCTCCTGGCCTGGGAGTTAAAATAACGCTGGACACAAAGCGGGGCGCTACCTTTTTTTGCTCGGAATGACTCCGATCTGCTCACTCTCTCCGTGAGGTGTGACCAGCCGGGCCTGCCACCATTCGTCATCAGAAGCATTTATGACATGAAGGATGTCTCCATAAGAGAAGCTGAGGCCTTGGCTGGGCAGGCAGCTGTCCCTCGTTCGATCGTAGTCAAACAGAGCTCTGAAACGACAGCATTTTTTGTTACTCTCCTCTCAGCTTGAATCACTGCGATCACTGGACCTTGTGGCCAAAGCTGTAGCTCGTGAGTCTCATTGCTATGTAATTGCTGCTGGTATTTATTCATTCATTTGGTCACATGACCTTTGTGTGAGCCGGTGATGTGACAATGTTTCAAATAATCAAATAATTGAAACAATAATTTAAGGTTTTGCGATGTACAATTAGACAGGTCAACAGCTGAATTTTAAATGACCTGTTTAGAAATAACTCCAGAAACGAGAGGGGTTAAAGTTGTTCATAATTTTCCATTTAACATTTCCAACGGCTTCTCCCGCATACTTTCCACTACAAACACGCTCTGTTTATCGTCTGTCTGACTGCGTCACTGTCTGGTTGGACAAGTATACCCACAGCTAATACCAAGGCCTTGATACCCGTTTGACAGGTTTCAACCTTTCTTGACCCACAAGCGTACATCTACAGATGGAGTATCTCAGCGAACAGAGAGGCTGCAGCCAGCAGCTAAATAAGAGTTAAGCTGACAAACTCCTGCAGCTGGCAAAACAAACTTAAGATGGAAGCATTGCGACGCTGCCCACAAGAAGCCTGTCAGCTTGTGTCGCCACCGGAGAGACGAGTTCAGTATCAGGCCGTGATCAGATCCTCTGCCTCGGCCGTGTAATGGCACCTAAACATTGTAGTGTTGCAAACAGCGTGAATACACGTGACATTCTTTAAAGTGCACCTCCGAAGCTGAACGCCTCCACATTCCTGAGGCTTGGCTGGGAGGATGTGGCACCTCCCACTTCAGTCTATAAGCTAGACAGCTTTTGCCAGCATAACTCTGAGCTTAGTCACCTGCACAGGAGCAGGCTGAGCCCTGCATATCTCATGGGACTCGATGTATAAGAGCAGCGTGAGTCAGAGTGGTCAGCAATCTGTAGCCGGCCTCAAATGGTGATAACACCTATCTACTGTGGAACTACTGCTCCTGAGCACAGACAGTTTAGCAGTGCAGCGGCTAAGCGGAGGTGCAGTCGAGGTTCAGCAGAAACGCTGTGACGCATCACATGGCCCCTCCACCGTGGCACCGCGTGTCCTCTGTGACTCCCTCTGAGCAGAGGGATGCCACCTGTTTTAATTCCTAAATGAGGCTCCATCCTGTTTGGCAACTGGCCCACAGTGTCATAACACAGGTCCCTTTAACAAGCCCCACTGTCACCCCGAAGTGAAGGCAACGTCCGGCCAGCCATCAAAACATTGGCGGGGAACGTCTGCCCATCGCCACGCTGACCACAAGAACTGTCCCCGGTCTGACCACATTTCAAAACGCATGCATTCAGGGTTCCTTCTTCCCACAGCTTAACGAGTGTGTGTGAGGGTACCTGACATAGAGGGAGCGTTTCTCACTGGTGCGCAGGGAACCCGATCCTGAGCTCATGCTGCTGTTCATCATCTGCTCCCTCAGGTCGTGGATCTTGGACTCAAAGCGACTGTACTCTGTGATAGAAAAAACAAAACAAAACAAGATCTGTCAAAGTCACAGCAAAAATAAGTCCATGAGCATGTACACCAGCCCTCGGGGTATGCTCGTATTGACCGCTTTGTAGAGAGAAAGCACCGAGTATTAAGCTCTGTTCTTGTTTGGCTGGAATATTATTGAGGATCTGAGTCTGGTTAGCGCTGCAGTGAAGGGAGGAAAGGTTCAGCGAATCCTTAAGCTGATTAATGACCCCAGGAACAGATGGTTTATCACAGATCTGCCTTACACATCCAGTTATTCCTCATTTCAGGTAATTAATTATACAGATTAATTAAGTTCAACATGAGCTCTTTAGTCTGGTTTAAAAAAAGGGAAGGCCTCCAACTATTTGAAATGCGTGGCCATTTGTCATAGGTGTGTAAATCCAGTTGCAGCTCCGCAGCACAGGATGATGCATGAGTCCACCTGGACCTGCTCATTAAAAATGCTCTCATTTGCCTGCTGAGCACAGCGTGCTCTGTGCCCAGGCTGCTGGAACAAGTGAGGCCCCCGCACCACACCGTTAGATAAACAGGCCAACAGATGCGGCTAGAAAAACAAGGGACTCAAAGGAGGCAATGGGCCTGCAAAAATATAGACATGCAAGCGTCTGATTTGCCATCTATACATTATCACCATTTTCTGGAAGCACAGCTTCTAAGCTCAGGGGTTTATCCGCTTAAGACAATCCAGTCACTGACAGACAGTGTTCCTGCACTAACACCACACACCCGACTTTGGACCTTAATTAGTCAGTGAAGGCACAGTTTTCCGCCTTCATAATCCATGTCTGAAGCCGACATCACTGAGCTACCAACACTTCCTGTAACATGAACAACACCTGATCAAAGTCCAGCCTTGAAATAACAAACACCGTGTCTGCACAGATGATTTCTCTGAAATGAGTCCAAGCTCCTGGAAAAGTCTGAGCAGGTGCAAAAACAAACTAACCCACTCCCTGCTGGGACGGCAGAGCGTTCTGACAAACGCAGACACCCCCCCCACCCCGGCTCAAAGGGTTAACACCGCCCCAGAGGGCCGCTGCTAGGTGTTGTCACCAGACGCCGCTGTAACCAGGAGCAACCATGTAGCGCCTGTGGACAGTCAACATATGCTGAAACAGCCATTCAGGCTGCTCGGCTTTCAGGCCCAGGAGAGGCAGAAGAAAGGAGCAGGAGAAGCTGCCGTTTGGGGAGGACAAAGAGGGGCTGAACGCAGAAAGACGCCTCAGTTCACCACCACCAAACAGCCAGACAGAACCAGTGCTGGGCATGGCCTCCTCACTCTCCTGACGTCAGAATGACTCCTCTAAATACCGTGGACGCTCAGGAGAAACAGTCTGACCTGCTATTAACTGTAAGCCCCTGTGGGAATCGTGGTATACCCATAAACATGCGGCCACTCCTCGTACATAATGATGACATCAGGCAGCAGGAAGCTCAGCGTCGCATCATAAGAGCTGTAACCGAGCAGGAAAACGCTGTTATCTCTGATGGTCAGATATGAAACAGATCACACAGACGGAGGTTAACTGCCACACACTAACCACAGTCTTCCGAAAAGTAGCACGGCAACTTCCACAATCCACCATGTAAACTCTGTGTGTTTTTTTGTAAGGCTTTCCCCCTAAATTCAAAGAGGTTTTCCCATTTAACTACCCACATTGTTTTTGTGAGAGTGGAGGACTGAGGACATGTCTCCCTCTTTTTCAGCAAACTGAAATTTATACCGGGTGGGGACAATCCCCCCCCCCAAAAAAAATAAAACAAACTTCTGAGGAGACGCTGTCCAAAGAGGAAGTCAAGATGGAATCCTTAATGGCCGCCGTTTCTAAGGTGCCCACGTCACAAAATCAGGGGGCATTGTTCCAATGTCAGAGATCTATCAAAGGACTTAATCCTCTTTTCTGTAAAATTTCAAGGGTGCCTCTACGTATCCTCTCCCACAATCCCTTGTGCGCATCAGAGGTGGTGCAGTTAGCGGATCAACACAGGCACAATGTACACAGAAACAGCAGCAAGTTTGTTTCCACCATATTTGCCACCATCAGAGCTGTCAGCTCAGTGAAATATCTGCTGTTCCAAAGTCAGGGAGTACGAGCCAATACAGCATGTCGCTTTCCTCGTTTTCTGGGGCTCAGCAGCATCAGATTTGGGTTCCTTTTATGAAACATTTGACCATTCTTCTCAGCTCCTGTTTTTTCACTATTGTTCGATTCATTGTCCAACATCACACTGCTGTTGAACAGTGAATAGTGATACTTTGGAAGCAAAGTGGTAGCAATCACAGCTCATCCGAGAAGGATGCTCTTCCATTTACGCCTGACCACTCCATGAGTCTGCTCACTGCGTGGCCTTTTAAACAGCTCTACCTACCAACAAAAAAACCCTGACATGGCTTTAGCAAAAATGACTAAGAATGTCACACAGATTAGGGATAAAAACTTTCAGTTCCCCTGTAGCTGCAGACTTTCATTGCTTGGCAAGCTGATGCTTCACACATGACAAACAAAACCAAAAGATAAATTATTTGCGCTGGAAACGGCAAACAACAAAAGAAAAGCAGAGATGTGCCCGACGCTGATAACGCGTTGTTTTACAACCATGATGGGGAAACTCACCTCTACCAGGCTGACCGGCAGTTTCTTTATGGTCTTAGAATAATTCCACACGATTGATTCAATACACAGAAAAATTACTTCAGGAGGTTACAATTCACTTAAGTCCTGGCTCCTTAAACCAGTGAATACTCCAGAGCTAGCCTGTATTTTTAGGAGTGACCCACAGGAAGAAAAGACAGCTAATAGAAACTGGGTCTATTCTGTATCTCACTCCCACTGCGTGTCCTCATTAGTTGTACAGCCTTTTTTTATTTTGGGGGACGGTGGCTTCTCTTTTGATCCAGTTATGCAACACAGCGGGCATGTGCCTGTAATACGAGAGCGTGTTATGTTCTAGGGGAGAACGCAAACACCCCCTCTCCGGTACTGCAGCGCAAAGCAAAAGGTGCAAGTCGACCGAAAAAGTTTCAAAAGTTTCAGCGTAGGTCTGAAACGAACGCCGTTGTGAGTTTAATGAGGGTTCTGAGAGTGTAACATTTCCTTCATACCCCTCCTCCCATTTCCTACATGGAAAGACTTAAGTGTAATTACACTCGTCGAGGGCTGGGCTGGGCAGTACCCCTCACTTCAACTCCTGAATGAGAGCTAAAGAGCTGGTGATGCTCCAGTTAGCTGCTGCTCCATTATGGCTTCCTATGGTGTTCAGAGCTGGCCTTCGATCAGAGGTCCGTGAATGCCCGGGCCCCTGCCCCTGAGAAAACTCTGCAGGCAGTTTGGCCTGGCATAAACTAACACTCATCCTCCATTTCCTCCCCTGACTGACTTGTCCTTGTGTAGCTCATCGGGGGCTCCTCCTGCTCCAAACTCAAATGAACAACTTGTCACACACAGCTTTAGCATGCCAGCAGATTTACTGGAGGCAGATCTCAGGTCACCAGAGGGGATTCAGGAAGTCAATCATTTGCCAGCACTGGACTTGTTGGTTTGGAGTTGTTGAGATCTGTACACAGATAAGTGTCCTTCGCTGGGTAACAAAGGGGGCTCAGAGCTGAAAGCGTGATTTGCGTTGGAAAACAAAGCCTCCCTTCAACTGACCACATCGTTATTCAAGATTCTGCATGAATGATCTGGCATGCGGGGCAACATGAACTCACAGAGCCACGGATGGTGATTTGTAATCTGAATATGTGACAGGAGGGAAAACTCATACAGAGCTTCAGCTCAGCCTCAGACCAGTTCCACAGATCCCACTCAGCACCAGTTTGCCCGTCCACAGCACACTATCGGCCGTCTGAGGCCCGGGTCCTGTTTCACTGACAGAGAAAGCTGGATGGAGGGAGAGCATGCTGCAACTTATACCCCTAACATTCCTGTCATAGTCCGACTTGGGAGCTCCGCGGTGATGAATATCTCTCAAATCCTCTCCTCTGATGTTACGGCTTTACAGAACCGGGCTTGGCTGAACTCACAGGGAGGGTATGAACCTAAAGGAGTATGAATGCACACAGCACAGCCGGGCCGGTGGAGCCATTTTGTTGAATAAACTCAAAAGAGGGAGCAGCACGTGAGCCCCGCCTCAGTCAGGCTGTGCTGTGGGAGAAGGAGGTGACAGGGGGGCTCATGGGGACACCAATGCTCACAGCTCTGAGGTGAAACCTAAAGGCTGACACACACCTGTGTGACCACACCTCTCTGCCCCCACCTATGAACTCCGGTTACATAAAGACCATAAAGGCACGGCTGAATGAGCTCTGCTGCTGTTCAAATTTACAACATTTCCCAAGATAACACGAGCTAATCATGAACCCAGAAGGGCTCCAGGTAAAGGTTAGGGCGGTTTCTCGTGTCTCACACAGACAATTGGCCCATTTGAGGCCGAATACAAAGAGGTTTCGCTTGGCTGTGTGTGTGTGTGTGTGTGTAGCCTCCCATGAGGGGAAACGGTAACTCCTAATGGCTCACACAGACACGGGACGTGCGCTTGTGTGTCTCAGCGGTACAAAAGAAGCACACCTACAGGTTCCTGTACCGAACCTCCTCGCTACACAAACGCCTCAAACAAACCGGTTCAACAAAAAAGAGAATCAAACTAACGCAGTTTTTCCGGATTCTGTGTGCCAGCACTCCTCCTCGCCTCACCTCGGACAAATGTGGCTTTTAGTTCTCCGTCTCAGCCGGTCGCTTCTTCATCCAGCCATTGGGCAGTTCATGCGGCTTCGGCTCTGCTGCTGTGGTAGCCGAGCCCATCCCCCATCCACTCCGGCTGCTGGACGGAGGAGTTGACGCTTTCCACCTTCACTTGGAGCGCATTTAAACTTTGCTGCGGCGCGGTAAACACGGCGGAGCTTGTACTTCCCGCTCAGCGTCCTCTCGGTATCGGTGCCCGGCTCTCGGCGTGCCGGCAGCGGCTGGAGTTTGAACGGGCAGGACAACAGCGGTCGGTTTGCCCGCCTTGCAGTTGGCTCAACTCTTCAGGCTGCTAACACAAGACCCGCCCCTGAACCTGAATGCCTCTTCCAGCCGACCTATCCGGAGCGCTAACCTCGTTGTTTGCAGCGCGAGCTGCTCGGTTTGTGACCCCCCCCCCCCTCCCGACCAGCAGGTGACATGCCTCCCCCGTCACTGAAACACCTTTTCTTTTCTCTACTGCACTTTTACAAAGTCCTCAAACTCAAGAACACTGAGAATGGAAGCCCAGAAACAATGGTTTGAATTACCTGGAGTGATCCCTGAAACCTACATTTCCCACAATCCACTCTGTCAGTGTGGCTCCTGACGTCCATTACCTGGATGCTAAATGCCCACGCATTTTAAGGAGGGGGGGGGGATCGTTTTGCGGCTGTGAGAAAACTTTCCAAAAGTTCTTGGCAAGCTGAGTTTAAGCAGATTAATACCATGACCATGTCTGTGCTCTACATTAGAAGCAACGTGGTTGCCTCTAATGTTGAAACACCGGTTGAAACACAGGAGCCTGGCTAACCGGAACTAAATGCTGTTGTGCTTATGTATGCGTTTTATCAATGTTTGGCTGCTTAGCAACTAGCACAGACATCATCTCCTCACCCCCCCCCCCCCTTTCCTTCAGCATGTGACCAGGAAATTGTTCCTGTCCAAATAATTTAAAGGATTTCTTTCAATCCAAAAACAAATGCAGAGGCTGTAATAGTGAACACACCAGAGCATCCATTGTTCAGTTTATGTGCAGACACAATTACACACAATTCCTCAATTCCTTCACTTAAACTGAAAGTAAAGGGGGACGTTGTCATTTAACAGATTTAATTCTCGTCTGACAGACGCAATGAAACAGGTTCCTCCTACAACGTGTCAGATGATGTTGTTCTCTTACTGTGCTCCACCAAACTACCAGAAAGTATTAAATTGCCTGTACACAGGGTGGTTTGGAAGTCAGATTGAAGCAAATGTTCATGACAGTTTTTAACTTATTTATCCTGTCAGGAAGAAGAGATGCTCGAACTGTAGATCATCATTTTAACCCCACATTTCAGAACTGTAAACTTTATAAATAATTATCAAATACAAGGAGGGGGCAGAGTTGTATGAGGGTCAGAGGTATCCTTGACTTTGAGAAACATCTAAAGTATGTATTCTTTCTCCCCCACACACCTGTGACCCTGAGCTGGATGAAGCAGGTATAGGAAATGGATATGTGCTGATGAACTTTGCATGGTATTGCCCCCTTTTTTGTCTCCCTAAAAGGAGGGGGCATCAGTTGGGTTTTAAACCGAAAATGTGTTTTTTCAGTGATTCTTTTGACTAACTAAATTATTGTCCAACTATATTTCCCATTAGGTACTGTGGAACAGTGTAACCATGCAGCGAGGCTCACCTTCAGGCCTGTACTGAGCTATGATGGTGACCGTCTGCCCAGCCCTTTTCAGTGCTGCGGCCGCCTGCTCATGTGTAGCGTTTCGAAGGTTCACGCCATTCACCTGAGAAAGAAAAGCAGAGATTCTGAGTGGCATAAACATTAGATTCTAGATTTGCTAATTCATTGATTCTGGCATATGCCTGCACAGAGTAAAGCCTAGTCCTGCCAAATTGTTCTATTACAGTTTAACATGGACTAAGTTATACATCAAGATCCTTACATTGAGAAACTTTTCTAGACTATAGTGTGTGGTAAACTGCTGCTGGACTATCAGTGGCATCTAAATACTACAGGTATATGTCAGGAGGCTGCGGATTCTGGGCAGAACGCCGCTCAGCTCCCTCAGAGTTGCTGTGATTGGAGGTCCTGTTCAAGGACATTTCAGCGTGGGCTGGTGTTTGCTGCCTCTCTCAACAGCTAGCCACCTTTATTTCATCCTCATTCGTCGGACTGCAGGAGTTGGCTGGACTCTCACGGCTCAAGCTTGTTACGGTTGTGTGTGTGTCGGAAACACGAAGCTTTGAGTGCGGGATACTGACCGAGAGAATCCGGTCGCCCCTCCTCAGCTCGCCGCTCAGGTCAGCCGGCCCTCCGGCCAAGATGAAGGAGACGAATATCCCCTCTCCGTCCTCCCCGCCTACGATGTTGAAGCCCAGACCGGTGGAGCCCTTGTGCAGCACCACCTTCCTCGGCTCCCTGCCAAACGAGAGCAGCAGCGTCAGGGTGAAGGGCAGAGCACAGCGTATACAGGAGACACCGCGGGGGCGAGGTACGGCCGGGGCTGTGGTGGAAATAGCTTATGCAGAGGGCTGTGCAGAGGCGGTTTTTCGGACTACAGCCATCATCTTTGCACCGTGTACACCGAAATGTCAAGTGGGTCTAATTTAGGAGGCTACAAGCAGCCGGCCTTTTACTGTGGATCCAAAACACTTCCATGATGTAGGCAGAGGACACCACAAATCTACAGAAAACAAGCACTCACTGTTAGTAATCACAATGCTATTTCAGAGCTATAAAAAGTTTAGTTACCTTGGTCACAATTTAAGTTAACATTTTTCGTACAAACAGCACTAGTAAGTAATTTGGATTATATAGTGGCAAAAAGAAAGGAGCACCAATAGGGTTAAATAAACTCCAGAAAGATCAGGGCTTGTTCACAGTCGCCATTCATAGGCCGAGGGTTCAGATTTCAAAGATTATAAATACTCCACAAAAACTTTCCCTGATAACCGTCATAGTCACGGGCTCACTAAACAGCTGCCTCATGCTGAAAATGAAAACAATTTATGCCCACAGTCCAGGAAGTGCTTTCCTCAGACTGTGATGCAACTGAGGAACAGCACAGATAAACAGAGATGGTGGTGGTCAAGAAGAATGGAGAAAGATTTTCAAAAGAACTGCTCTTGGTATTGCACAAAACCACGAAACAGCTTTATATCTGCAAACGATCTGCAGATATTTAGTGTGAAGCACATGTGAATAATCAGGATTAAAACGTTGCTGCTTGCAGAAGTTTGCTATGGAACATCTTAAAGTTGATGCTGTTAGAGGATAAAGATTAAAACATATTTGACCGGACTTACAGAGATAATGCGAGAACTTACTGGAAGCCATTAAAAAAAAAAAATTCTCCAGGACTTAAAGAGTGGTATGTGCAAAAACTAGCGACCAACAGATGGAAATACTGCTTCAAATGAAATACAAGCACCACCACAACATCTGTTAAAAAGAAAAACGACTTCCAGAACAGGATAATGGTCTTCAACACACATCGAAATCCACCAAATCCTTAGAGAAGAGGCGCAAGCTGCACTTTTCCCCCTGAACATTAAAAAACAAAACCCCCAAAGTCTGAAATATTTCTGGTTGAGGAATGGATAGTTATCCCTAAAAAGGGAACTGAAAAAACTTTTACATGGCTCCAAACTGCGTTTAGAGGCCATGTCGCTTACAAAAAAGAGTATCTCTAAATACAGACCATACTGGTTGGCCAAATATTTATCTAAATGTGCTTGAATATTAAACCAACGTATCAGATTTAGCTGTATTTCTTCAGAAGATGAGATCACCCTTCGCTATTTAAAGCAACAGCGCATTAGGCCTGAATTAGCCACTGTTTGGGCACAGTGTTCCCTCACACAGTCACACCAGCTACAACAGGTTTAGGTCCCTATGCACTTTTTTTTTTACGTCGCGCCTCCTGCTTTTACATGGAAGTCTACACTTTTACACACACGAACACTGACGCACAATTGACCTCCTCCTGAAGCTCGGCTTCAGCCACTATGACTCATCCTCCGGCAGGCAGCGCCGACTCCACAGCGTTAAGATGCCGGAGAGGCCGAGCCGCTACTACAGTCCAGCAGAAACGCTTGGCTTCACACATGCACACACACGTGCCTCCTATGGACGGCGACGCACACGTGCACGCTTGTGCACAGAAACACACGGTTCCCTCGGCGTGGCTCCCATTAGTGGTCTCTGCTCAGGCAGTGCTCAGCCTGCGGTCTGCAGGAACAATTCCGGCTCCCTCCCCAATGGCTGCGCTCAGACTTGCTGCTCAGGCGGTTTTGCCCATGACGGCGGCCGGGGAGACATTCTGGGCTTTCAGAATCATCAAATGCCCGTGACTGAGTGGAAAAAGCTGCACGAAGCGGAATATCGGAAACAATCAAATGGAATCCGAAGCAAGAAAATGAGCAGGTTCTATTCAAAATTGTCTGGGCTCAGTGGTGTAACAGCTCAGGAATAAAAGGTCTCATCGGGGAATAATGGGAATCCTGGTTCGCCGCATTCTCCTGTTTCTACAAGGGAAACTTTGAGAAAGATTATACACAGCTGTGCTGGTGGCCAGTTACATATGGGGTCTTACATCTTTCCAAAGCTGTTTAGGAGTTTATAGTACAATAGACGAGAAGTGAATAGAAATTGAAGAAGCAGACGTTGCCCTAAAATATGCTAAAACAACTGAGTTGCCTCCAGTCAAATCGAGTCTAAAATAACCTCCCTTTCCATCCCGAGCGCTTTGTGCCAACTTGTTAAGGCACAAAGATCTCCATGGTTACCTCAGGATCCAGATCCGATGCTTGCTTGTTAGGGAGCATTTCCTGGCTGTGTGTTCGGGCAGGCTCCTCACCAGCGACATGGAGGACGAGACGTTGACTGTGAACATCGTGGCGCATCGCTCAGCTCCACATTACTGCTCCACCACTCCGTCTATCTGACCCTCCGCGGAGAGCTGGGTTACACTTTTAGAAGCCCTTGTGTTGGGGGCTCTCTATCTCATCCTGGTGTGCTTTGATGGAACACAGCTCCTCTTTGGGCTGAGACAGTCGCTTTTGTCCCTATCACCAGGACAGGTTTAACCCCAGCGCGCCCGTGCGAATAACGTGTCCCTCTGGTCTGCGGTCTGGTCAGCAAAAATCATCTTCTTGTTTCGTGTGGAATCGCTACGGCTCAGATATGCTGGGCTGGAGGTTATCCAGATGTCTCCCTTTCGAGCCGTGCTGTCCCCTTTGCCTCCGCTTTCAGGCTTTGATGGGTCCGGTCCTCTTCAAAACGGCACCACAGCATTCCTGTCTGTCAGCCCGGCCCTCTGGAGACTAGGCAGATGGATTCCCAGAGGGTCCCTGTTCATTTGCAGAAGTGTAAACAGACGCGGGAACTCGTGGACTGCCTTTCAGAACTCCTCGGTCTTGGATTTGTGGAGCTCAGAATCAATGAGCTGGCAGCTCTCTGCGGAGCCCCGCCACGTCTCCTAACAGGAGGACGTCTTGGACGGACAACTGGGGGATATGTGTACGGACCAGGTGAGCCGGGGCCCTAAAGGAGCCGCGTGTTTGTCCAGAAGATGTGAATCTGCTGGTCGTTTCAACAGAAAATGGCGGTGAATTCCTAACATTTCAAAATCGTAGAGCGTAAGACCTGCTTCCCCTCCCTTCCCCTCGTTGCCTTTTCATCCATGCCAGGAATGTAAACAGTGACAGAGCGGCAGCGAGAACCCTTTGGCTGTGCTCGGCCGTCTCCGTGGTTCAGAGCCCACCTCGCCTCCTCCCTGTGTCTCCCCCCGGTGCCTCGGCCGCCGCGGCTCAGCCTGAAAGCTGGGAATGGATATCTGGGCCGGCGGGTTCGGCGGGTCAGGCCGCGCCGGACGCAGCGCGGTAATTGGCTCCACTTGGCTGATTAATGGTGGACCCTGCAGATGGACACCATTTTACACAGGCAGACGCTGCTGCCTCTCGCTGAGCTTTTATCTCCCCCCGTCTCCGGATAGATGACATCAGCTTATATACGGAGGCACGCATGGTGCGTTCTGTCCTCCTTTTCACAGATTGAATTCAGCCACAGACGCTCTGTTGCTGCTCTTTTCTTCTCATTCGACAGTCACATATTTATTCCCTGCTGAAGTGACGGTTTTAAGCTTTGTTCCTCACTCTGAGACTCCAAATAAACTCAAAGCGAAGACGAGTGAAGAATAATTAACACCTGTGATGTGTGCTTAGCTGAATCTGTTCTGGCTGGTTTTACTTTAAACTCCACTTTTTCCCCCCCTGCAGCCTTTGAAGATGCAACCAAAGGTCACAGCATCACTAACGACTGAATTCTTGCACTGCCCAGTCAAAGGTTTTGTGTCTGTGAGTGGAAAGTTACTGATTAGCTAACCTGCTGCTTAAGTACCCCGGGCTTCTGTATTCACGGAACAGAAAACCAGGGAAAACAACTTTAACTAGAAGCACTGGCATCTAGCACTGTCCAGAAGTGCTCACGCTGAAAGTCAAGTACATTTTTTGTCTTTTTCTTTCCTATGGCGACCATTTCTCCTAGTTGGCTAATTACCAGAGGATGATAAACAAAAGTCATCGAGTCTTTTCCAATTCTTTTCCAATTGCAGCCTCGTACAACCATGAAGTAGAAATGCAGCCATGTGTGAAAAACGCAGTCCAGCCCATGATTCATTAGCTCACAGAGCCAGATTTAGCCACAGAAACTGAGACTTATCCTTTTCTGTATGGTGCTCTCAGCCTCTCAAGTCATGGAGGAATCCTGGCCCTCTCCACTTTGTTTATGTGATTGATTGCAGTGGATCTGAACTTTGGACCATTAAGTAATTTTCATTATTTTTCAGCTTTCCTGCCGCACGTGTCCTGTTGTGTTTGGGGATGATTTTGCTGTTACGGCCGAGGACAGACGGCCTCGCATCTGACTCTGGAATACTTTGGTACACAAAGGAGTTCATAGTGGAACTTCTACCACCTTGCTTTACAGCTGGTTTGAGGTCTTTGTGCTGATTGACTGCGTTTGGTTTCCTCTAAACTTGCACCTGTGTTATTCTAACTAAACATCTTTAAAATAATTTTATATATTTTTTACAATCATGCATTTTTGTTCATCCAACCAATTGTTTGAAATCATTTCAAAGCATGGTAAGCACCAGTTGTATTTTTTTTTTTTTAAGTGATGTGTTCAGGAATTACCTCTCCCTCTGCAGCACCCTTTTGTTCTTCTTGGCTGAATTTGTGTGTCACTGTCATGTCTCAGAGCGGGCTGGGCGCGGGCCACCAGCCTGTCCCTGTTGGTTCTGCATAACGGATACGAATCTAAGCATCTGAAGTTTGCAAAACATTTACTCCGGACCGAATCTACAGCTCAGTCAGACAGCAGGAGCAGACTGTTTTGTGATGGTGCACACTGTCACCATTGCACACAGATGCATGTTTACAGCAAACATGCGTCGCTAACACAGGTTTGATTCCTTTTCAAGCCCGGCGTAGACAAGAAAGGGGGGGAATATCAGATGGAGAGGGAGGTGGGGGTGTCAGGGGATGTGTCTCTGATGACACCACTGAGGGGGATGTGCAGATGGGCAGAAGGCTGATACAAGCACTGACTCACTCCTCACAGCCAGCCAGCTCTTCCTCTATGGAAGGCTGTGCTTACTATAGCATCCATCCAAAATAACCTCCCTGCTTGGAGCCAGTGGGGAGCTGATTGGGCCGCGGCCTGCCTGTTACTCTGATGGAGAAGGGCGCTCATCTGCTGTGACTGGGATCACGTCGGTTGTCAGCCACCGTGTCCCCTAAGACAGATGCCGCTCTTTCCCCCGCTGCCGGGACCGCGCACGGGCGCAATATGTGGGTCGCTCTCCCGTTTGTGCGGCCGCTTTGCGAGCAGCTCGGTGGGCGGCGTGCACGCAGAGCGCCGATCTGTGCGTCCGCGTGTCGGCACGCGACGGGCCAACGTCTCTGCCGTCAGCAGGCACGTGATGGGCGCTGGCAGCCCGGGTGAGGATGGGTGAGGAGACGGGTGAGACCTGAGTGCGTGGCCTGATTTTTGCCTGTGTGCCGATAAATCACGACAGCTGCAGGACGGTGTGCTGGTCTGTAGCAGATCAGGCTCCGATTCCCTGGTGCATTTATGGAAACAGTGAGGCTGTGTGTTTATATTTACATAGATCAGCAAGCAAAACATTCCAGCACAGCGGAGCAGAATCTTTGTGTAGGGTGGCTCCAGTCAGCCATGCATCCTCCTATTATCGCCTTCCTTTAGAATAACACAATCTGCTTAAGACGAGCCTCAATCCTTTTTTAAATCTTTTTCTTTTCTTTCTTTTTTTTTTTACAAGCATAGTAGCACACATACCGACGTCAGAGCGTGGTATATAGGATACACACTACAGACCATATTTATCTAAATCACTGGCTCACGCACAAAAGCATTGGAGCATTCCTCCATGTGGCGACGCTCAGGGAACAGAACTGGAGCTGAAACACAAGCAGAGGGCCCATTTGCACATTCGGTGGATGCCGAGACAGAAAAAATAAAAGAAAACGTGTATACCGTGAGGATGCTACTCCTCATCGTTTTTCATCAGCAGAGGCTGGTAGTGGAAGCAGCCCGGGCTGAGGTGTTTGCTCGGTTTCAACAATGCGGCCTGACAGATGGAGCTGAGCAGCTTGTGGAGCCGTGTCGGCTGCACTCCTGCGGTGGTGTTTGTGAGGAGCAGGTACGGCTCCATTTTACAGCGCAGCACACAGGGATCCACCACCAGACATGAGCGGATGAGCAGGAACATGACGAACAAAATAACAATAGCACGGGCTAGTGGTTGTATAGATATCTAAAAAAAAAGACAATCAGTTAAAAAGAAATTGTAATCTGCTTTGGACAATTTTATTATCTTTCCGCAAATCTCTAACTGGATATAAAGGATGTCATTGCGGTAATATTTCTTCTTTGTGCTACCAAATCAAACCTCAGTGGAGATCTGAGAGAGAGGACCATAGACTTACACAATTTAGGATTGTGCCCTTGGGCCACTTTAAAAAAGATTTGTATACTTTGCTTAGGTATAGAAGAGGGCCCCCACTGTGAAGGGGTTACACTGGAACCCCTAGTTAAGTAGATATTTCCATGACCTGGGACTGATCAGCAAAGTCAAATTGAGATAAGTCAGTTTTATATCACAAGCAGCTTCTTTTTGGCCAATAAATCAGGACGTGCTCCAAAAGCACCTTCAAGCTCCAATAAAGATGATGAAATTCAGACATAGATGAATTTACTACAAAGGCACTACTCTGAATTCTGAACAGATTAGATTTAAAATGCTCGAACATTTCAACAGATTCTTGCTTTTTTTTTTTCTGCCCAAACCCTGAGTGAAAACAGGAGAACGTAAGCCGGTGGGACGTGATGCAAAAATAGGAGCAAACATCACAGAACATGTGCTGCCGTTGTGCAGGTGAGTGTGCGAGCGCCCAACTGCTAAATGCAACAAGGAGCCTCATCTGTTGTTCCCAGTGTGTTGGGAAGATAACACACACACTTTCCACAGTCTAATTCCTTATGCTTATGCATTTAGCAGACGCTTTCCTGCATCACGTTCGGCCTGAATTGGGCCTTAAACAAAGCGAGCTGGAACCTCCTCGCAGCTCCAGCTGTGACCGAGCAAATCTCCGACAGAAGGTCTGGACCAGAGTGTCCACACGGCTGAGATCGCCGTGTGGAAACGGCTTTGGAAAGTTTATTGTCAGGACAACCGTTTTTTTTCGTTTTTTGTTCTTGTGATTTGAGGGACTCTTTATGCATTTTTTGAAATCATAACAAATAGAATAAATATCAGAACTTGATACTTGACCCTAATAACACGTTACCAACTGTTGAAAGTTGGACAGAAGTGGATGTTCCACAGTGACAATGGTGCCAAAAACGGTAGAACATCAGCCGGTGGGACGACATGCAAAAATAGGAGCAAACATCTCAGAACATTTGCTGCCTTTGAGCAGGTGAGTGAGCCAGCGCCCAACTACAGTGACCTTCAACACATGGTTATGGAATGGGTAAAGCAGACCGACAGCACAAACATCAGGCCTTTGGAAAGGCAGTACTAAAGCCTTAAATTCATTTTAATCAAAAATCTGCTGAGAAAAGTGGAAGGGTTGAGGAGCTACATTTTGTGATGCATCCAGCCAAATATTCAAATTGTAGCGCCTGTACTTGAGCATTTTCCCTCATGAGGTGACATTAAAAAAAGTCCCAAAAGAGCACAACGTCCACACACCATTCGATATAAGACAAACAACAGGTATCCTGAGGGCCAGGGCTTTACTGGAACTGTAGGTCCCAAAACTAAGAACACAAGGAACAGCAAATTAACGGTGTAAGGCAGTACGGTGAACATGAGGACGGGAAACATTTACATGCACACACAGAGACAGGAAACTAAGAGGATATCACGAATGTCACCCTGCAAGTCCTTCCAACCCTCCCCTCTCCATCACGCTCTGCATCCATCCTCTCTGCTTTTAGGATAATATCAGCACAGCTGTGGCATAGCACTGCACTTCTGAGGCAGGTTTCCTCTGTCCTTTTGGCCCTGCTCCTGTTTGATGTCAGATCCAGAGGCTGAGCTATAGAGAGGAGGGTTAGCTAAGCAAGGCGTGATGGACTAGGTTTGTACCTGCCAGAGAAGGGGAGTGGACCTTGGCACAAGGGAGCAGGGGAAGGACAGAAGCCTCTGTAGAGGGCCTGGGGCGCCTTGCTATCCCCAGGTTTGTGGATGACACTGTAAATAGGTTCAGCCCTGCTGTGGGGTACAGGAATCACAGTGAACGGGACAAGTGCAAGACACACAAAAAAAGCAGACATACCAACAAAGATGCGATAAATGCACATACAAGTCATGTAGACTGCTTGAACAAGGACATCACAGAGATCACACACACGCACACACACACACACACACACAGAGGGAATACAGCCTTCTCTCCCCAGAGCTTTGGGTTAAGCTGACTCAAAGCCTCGTGGGACAGTCTAATCAAGCCCGTATGAATGCTGCTTCTGCTCCTCTACTTGGATAGGAGGTCTAAGGTTAAAACGGTCATAGCAAGTACAAGAAGTGACAAGGGGCTCCTCTCAGCACACAGCCACTGCACACCCTTCAGCTACGATGTGGTATGCGCCACCAGGGACCTGACACCCGTGAAGTCAATACCAAGTCTCCTTCATGACCTAAACTGCAGTTCAGGCATGTATCACCAAAGGGGCCGTGACGATACATGTGCAACAAAAAAAACACAAAGACACTGGGAAATAAGGTAAGCCACAAAACACGATCTAAAAACGGAATTTTCCCCCAGCCGCGTTTGCTTCACAACCACATTTCTTTACCGACCACCACACCAGCCCATCCCCGCGGGCACAATGTGCCAGGAGAATACAGAACACTACGGCTGTGGAAGGGTTAGAACGGAGGCAGTCGTGGAGGCGCCGCTCTGTGACCTACCTCGTGAAGTCTTCCTCCCCAAGCATGGGGCGGGGGACGGGCGAGTACCTGGACGGGGTGACCTGGGGCGGCGGGTACACTGGCTTGGGCTCCATCGGCCCCATGTAGTTATGGCTGACATGGTTGTCGACCATGGTGGGGAAGGCTGGAGGGAGGGCCAGACCAGTAGGGGAAAAGAAAGAATGATTAAAACACAGGCACTTCACAAACCCAGCCACAACTTTTGTTTGACCAAGTTCATGCTAATCTATCACAGCATCAGAACAATTGTTTAAATAGGTCACGATGATAAATATTTAACCAAATGTATGTGGGCAAATAGACTTGAAATGTTGAAGGGGAGATGTGTTGTTATGCTGTTGTTGTCAGATAGTTAAAAAAAAACTATTTTCCTGATTATCAAATAGCAGGAGTCTAAGCTCTCAAACATGCAATTAGAAATGTCTGAGAAATTTACAACAGGTATGGTTTTCCACTGGTCAATCCTTTTCTTTCCTAATTAATACGATTTTGTCTAAGAAACCGGTGCAGAGAGAGCGCAGCTACAAAAATAAAAAAAGCCCTCTGATGGAGGCAGCTGAGCGTGATCAAACAGGCGTTTGGAGTCTAGATCACCAGTTTCACTTGTCTTGATGTAATCGCAGAGTTAAGTTTGCATCAGGGGCTCAATAAAAGCCAGATAACTGCAAACATTAAGGAAACACAAAAAGCTCATTAAATCACTGTTCTGTAGAAATCTGAGAAGCTGCAGAGCAGGATCGTGGGCTCTCATGAGCAGGTGGGATGTGAGAAACCATCCACACTCAGTGGGAGGCAGAGAACTGCGCTTGTCGTTGCTGTGGGAAGGTTTCTGTGTTTGTGTGTGTCTGAACCAGCATTTACTACATTCAGTGTGTGGGTGTCTGGGCACTGCAGTTCGGGGGAAGAGAACAGTGATCCAACATAAAAAATTCGGAGAACATCTCAGATAAAGATCAAAAGATGACTCCCGGTGCAAAACACCGAACATGGACCCCGACTTATTTATCGCTTTTTGCCTTACATCAAATATTCCATATCAGTAAACGCATCCTTGTTTTAAAGGTGGATGCTTGTGGATCGGTGGAGATTAAAAAAAAAGATAAATAAAAAAGCCCCAGCTGCTGACTTTGGAATAATGAGACGAGGCAGATACGTACTGCTGGAGTAGTCTGGAGGGGCGTACATGTCGTTCAGATGCACGGGTCCTGGCTTGGCCACTTTGAGGTAAACCATATCAGAGGTGTTCTTCAGAGCAGCTACCGCCTCCTCATGACGCACGTCCTGCAGCACGATGTTGTTCACCTGAATGTGTTGATTGTCAAGAAATGAGAGGAGGAGAAAAATTCATGTATCAGTACCTGAAAGCCTTGTGTCTAAACTGCGATGTGACAACATCACACAGTCGTCACACCAGCCAACACAGTAATGAATCATAGCTTGAAGGTATTAAGAGTATCAGTACAGCAGTTCAGGCAGAGAAAAAGGTGGGCACGCTAAAGGAGGTCATAAGCAGAAAGCGTTCGAAAGATCTTTTACATTTCTGCCGTTCCTGTTTGAAATAAAAACCATTTGGAAGTTTAGAAACACCCCACAATTTGATCAATTTTTAGTCAGACTGAGGCAACACGGCCAATGACACAAACAACAAAACTTTAAATTCAAAAACAGCTTTAAAGCAAAGGTTATTCTCCATGCTATGAATATACAATCTTTTGTATCTCGGCTACAGCTGCTTAATTGTAGTAATCAATAATTTAAAAAAGCAACAAAAGGCAGAAAGGCCTTTACTGCTTCCAGGGCATAGCAAATAAAAGGAGATCTGAAATCCTCAGAAATGACCAAATGTTTGTTTAACTGACTGGAGAGCCACACAAGAGCCTTGGATTTATTTTGATTTGAGCTGCAGATATGAGAGTGAGTCACAAGTGTCGGCTCTTACAGCCAGCAGGCGGTCTCCAGTCTGTAGTCGTCCATCTTTTTGGGCAGCTCCTCCTTCTATGATCTTGGTAATATAGATGCTGTTGTCTCCTGGGATGTGCTGGTTCCCGATCCCTCCGGCGATACTAAATCCCAGTCCTGGTTGGGTTGCACACAAATGACATGTTCACAGAATCCTCTCTGACGCTTTAAATACACGTTCAGTGTCTATGAAGGTCCCACCTTTGGGCCCTTTCAGCAGGTTAACCTCCAGGATGGTCTCGGGTGGGGCCTGCCTCCGTCGGACCAGCAGCCGCACCACAGGCCCCGCCTCCTTCAGGGCTTCAACTGCTCGGCTGTGGACCACGTCTGAGACGTCCACCTCGTTCACGCGCAGCACGCAGTCATTAACACTGTGAAAGGGAGAGTTCATAGTATACATCACACTGGGTTTGCTGCACACTGGGAGACCCAAGCAGAGCAAATGTAATCAAAAAGCAAAGCAAAGATAATCTTTTTTTTGTTGCAAGTTTCAGGCTTTGGTTTCGCAGTGAATCATGAGTCTGCGGAAATACACAGAGCTCGGGGCAGAGGGCTAAAACTCTGCCTCCCACACAGCGCTGCCTGGCGGGACACAGTGTCGGTGAGCACCAAAGATGAGATACGGAGGTTCGTGCGGGAGGAGGACGAAAAAGAGGAGAAGGCATGAGCAAAGAGAGGAGGAGGAGAACGGCTCGATGCGGGAAACTTACCCCAGCCGTCCATCCATAGCAGCTGCTCCCCCAGGAATGATCTTTGTGATGAAAATCCCCGGATCATCGGGAATGTGGGGATTGTCTATCCCTCCGGCGATGCTGAAGCCCAAGCCAGAGTTCCCCTAAACACAAGTTGTCATCGGCACTTTGAGAAAGGCGCAGTAAACAGCATACACGTGCACGTAATTAAGACGTAGGTGGTGAATCCGTGTGGGCTTAAAGGATGTGTCATGTGGCTAATGCTGTTAGGGCTTCTCCAGGTACTTCAACAAACGTGTTTGTCCTCTGGTGTTAAAATTAGTGGGTCATGTTTTTCATTCAAACAAGGCGTTTTATTCAGTGGGCCACGTGTGTCCCTTTGTCCACGGAATAGAAAGAAAAAAAAATTGAAAGCAACTTTTTTCCTGCATGATGTAATGCCTCCCACTCTGTGCAGGAGATAGACACTGCCTCCTCCTGCCGTCCCTATCCCTTATTTTACCCAGGTCCCATTTGGATGCAGTGGGGTCCGGGCACACGGCTGTATCTGACAGCCATGGCCGCAGAGACAGGCAGCAAACAAGACAGCTGAGAAAAGACTTCACTTTATTATTTTCCATAATTAATGAGCAACAGTCGCAACAAATTAGGACAGAGGGAGTCTGAGGCCTCCCAGTGCGCTGCTCCCGAGCAGGGAGGAGTAGCCCGGGCCTCACCAAATGTTACACACCCACAGACCTTTAAAAGAGTGACTCGGCATGGTTTATTTAAGCTTTCTGCAAGCAGAAATGCTGCTTAAAGTGAAAGGGGCAGAGAGACGCTGTGCATCCATCCAGAGTTCGGAGGTGCATCTGTATGTGGGCGGAATAATGAGAGCAGAAACGTATAGCTCCCCCACTAGACGCCGAACCAACACCGCCAAGTGCAGTGGTGCCTGCTGAACAATTGAACAGGAGAGCACTTTACATTTCTGGCGTCTGCTGATGACATGTGCCTCGGGATTATGTAAAAAGCCATGCATCACTGGCATTTCTCTGTGCGCTCACTCACATGAGGCATCACATAAAAGGAAGCTGTAATGCGTCTATTTCACAGTTTGGACCTAACTAACTCACAGCTAAACCAAACACCCTCCTAAATTTATAAGGATTAACGTTTGCCTTTTTTATTCAGGCTCTTTAAGCTCAATGAGCAGAAAATGAGCTGCTTGCTACCACCTAGTGGGGAGAAGTCTACACATCATGCAGAAAACATGCTAAAGAGGAACGTGTACATTTTGTTGGCAATATGCAAAAGAGAGCTTACCCTCTCTAAAATGATCTCTTCATATTTATACATCCCATCACTGCCATTTACCTGCAAAAAAAAGAAAAGAAAAGAAAGATGGTTACATCACCGAGCAGAAACAATGCCATCTTCCAAAAATACAGCAGTGAGAAAAGAGAAGCCTGGAAATGTTACAGCTAAATCCTTTAATATACAATAACGGACCTTTTTGAGCAGGATTTTAGTCAAATGTAGAAAACATGAAATGACACATGTGCTAGATTGTTTTACTTTCCAAAAAGGTTGGATCTGTTGAAAAGAAAGGTACACATAGACCATGACACTGCAGAATGCACACGATCTACAAACAGGCCAGGTCAACGGGATAATGGATATCAGCTCTCATGGCGAACAGCATGTTGCTACCAGGAGGAGGCCTTTTCTTCCCCACACACACACGCACACAAACATATTCATGCACCAAAAGGAAGTGAGAATAAGTGGGATATACAGTGTACAGACGGCGAGATGGGATACTTACATAAGGGCTTGCATCTAGTGAGTCTGCGTTGACAATGATGGGGGGAGGGTTCGCCTGTGAATATGAAGACATACACATTAGCTCAGAGTGTGAGGATGGCAGCGCACAGACGTGATGCTGCACACACACTTTTGCTCGGGAGCCGTGGATGCCATAGGAACAGTCGGCGAGTCTCTTTGGGACTGAGAATGTGGGAAGGGACAAGTTATTGTGGGGGGGGGGGCGGTGTTGAAAGGTGCGAGGACTGAGAATGAGGACTGGGGCGGAGAGACCGCCGCTTATTAACTGCCACAGCCAGACGTCCTGCGGTCACCTCATAAAGCAAAACAGCTTGTGTTTCAGCTGTTGGGACAATCCGTTTATCCCACGTCCACTTTCACTTTACACCCATGAGATATAACACCACGTAGTATCACATAGGGAATGCATGATTTCATACTTTACTAAGCGTTTACCATTGTATTCATGGGAGTATTCCGTCTATAATATCATGTGATACAATACTGACATTTAACAATACATAAAGGTATCAAATAACAGCCACTTATGTAACTGTTATTTTCAATTCCGACGTCTGACATGAATTTCCAGTTATGTTGAAAATCCAATACCTGAGACAGCTCCAATTTCCAAGCATTTGACTTTTGAGAGTTCGTTCAAACATAAAACATTTAGAGCCACTGTTGAATAAAAGATGTTTTTTTAAGACAAAGTTCTCAATTAAGGTAGTAATTTTCTACAGCATGGGCAGCACCACGTAAGAAGGCAATGCATCGGTTGTTAGCAGCATTGCAGATGTGTAACAGCTGTTTCATGGTTTAGTTAACGGTCCAATGTCTAATAAGCATTTCTTTGCTTCTGTTCTTCAGTCTGGAAAAACAGAAATGTGACAAGATGAGCCTTTTTCACATTTTTCTTACTGTTATGGCCAGGTTTTTGTACAATGGATCAGATCAATATGATTAATTTAATTAGGAATGAGTTATAACCCTGCTGGCAGCCTTAGTTCCAAACCTAAGAGGATTCAGAACTTCTGGGGCGTTGTGCTTCTAGTTGATAAAACTATTTGGACTGGAAGAAGAAATAAAATCAGTGCAGATCTTATAATTACCTGTTGTGATCTCAGCTAATGGCAGGGGCTAAAATCTAAGATGAGACATCTTTAATCACAGCAAGTGCTGTTTTTACCTGAAAATGATTTCATCATTAATAAAATTGACCAAAAAAAAAAGAAAATTCATTATGAGGTTTCTCGTTTCTCTATTTATTAAGGGTCTCTCAGGATTGGACACTCGACTGTTTTATTTTGTTATAATCTTGTTCTGTTGGCAAAGGATTTTGCATACTTTATCTTTACCCAGTTTCCTCTGCCTCTTTAAAGCAGATTCTTGTGGGTTTGTTTTAAGAAAGGAAAAATGGAACTCTGGAAACATTTTTTTTTAAACACTTGAAAATCGTTCAGCTGTGGGCATCTGGCAGCATGCGAAAAACAAAGCGAAGCAAAAAGAAGGGGAAAAAAAAGAAACGATAACATGGTCGCAGATCCACAGCTGCACATGAAGTTTCACGGTGCTGAGCATCTAACCTCCCAGCTTGTCTCCACTGTGCCACCTGGTGTTTCTGTCCCTACTTTTTTTTCTGCCCTGCAAGATGACCGATGAGGGGAAGCAGCCGGGGTGGACACAGAGGAGCAGAGGTGTGGAGGAGGAGGCCTACTGGTTGGTTTGGGAGCAGCATGATGGGAGCGGTTAAGGGCACTTTTTATTGATCTGATGGAGGTGTGCTGGTGAGGATGCTGATGGCTCTGTTCGGAAATCTTGGGCTGCCAAAGATCCAAACCTATCCGTTTATCTGTCCTTTAGCCTCCCCGCCTGGCCATTTCTCCCCTCTCACCGGCAGCGGGTGAGGGTCACAGATATGGATTCTACTCCCTGTATCATGCAAGTTTGAGTTTAAACTGTTGACGCTGCTGTGTTCAGTGGAGCAGTGTTACACAGCTTATGTGACAAGGTAACACACTCTATGACATGATACGATATATTCAGATTTTTTTTTTTTGGCATACAAAAAAAAACAGCTTTTTTTGGGGGGGCTAACCTTTAATTAATGTATATGCTGACTGACATTTAAAGGCCAGAGACCACAGAATAAAGTAGTTGAGTGTCACACTTTACCACCTTTTTTGTATCGACATGTATAATGAAAGTAGTACAGGTCTTAAGTATATATTCAGCATACTTTGTTCGAATCCCCAGATAAACATTGAGCTATAACTACTGGAAGCCAGCCTTTGAGGTTTATGGTTGAAACTCCTCTGCTTCTGCACAACAGCAGCTTGGAACGAGCTTTTAAAAGATTTGACCCTCTGATCGAAAGCTCATGGCAAACTGTCCGTCATCTCTCCAAGCATTCACACTCTGACTGTTGCCTTCCCTGGTTATGAAAGCTGCTCTCCTGACTAGCAGAAGCGGTAGATTTGGCCCGTTTCACTCAGTGCTGATGTGCAATGAATCCGGACAGCTGTGGCTGCTGCTCCGTCCAAGTCAGCAAAATGGAGCCTCCGCTGCAATCTGCATATGGACAAACAGATGCTCCTGTCTGAGCTTGTGCCCGCACGTTTCTGGTTAAAGCTTGGTGCGAGGCATCCCAACGCAGTACCAAAAATCCTAGAAGTGACTTGAATGGTGAAAGCATCTGTAATATGCGAGTACAGCCAATGACAGCTGTGGTTTCAAGTTGATACAGCAAGAAGTGATGAAGCACTGCCTCGGGGCAACTCAGGGGAATAACTGGCCACTGTTGTCCCTGGATGAGTGACAGACTAGGCTATTGAATTCACTACTGAGACAGCCTGTGACAAAACACACCTGTTGCAACATGAAGCCTGTAGTGCTTATCATAACTATCATAGCAGACCATTGCTACTTAATGGGATCACTGCATCGAAGCACAGCCACATCATCCCTACATGCTTTTGATGCTTAATCCCTCGATATAAACCTTACATAAGAAGCAAATAAATGCAAGATAATCTCAATATGACTAATCTCGACATGAGTTTGGTTAAACAGTGTATCTAGGTAACTTGGATTAGACTGATTGATGCCTTCCTTCTGTGGACTGAGGGTAACCAGCCCTCTGCATTAATCTCATAAACGAGTAAAAGACGGCTGAGATTTCTAACCCATACATGCTGCGCTAAAATGCTTCAACTGAGGACCACAAGACAAAAACTAACTGCATTTTCCTACAAATGGATTTAAGATTAACTTTACAGAGCTCCTCACTTGGAGGACGCTGTGGAAATTTTCTTCCAATTGGAAGATCTGTGGTTTGATCTTACATTTCAGGCCCCAAGTCGACCTCAATGTGCTCACCGACGTGTGGTTCTAGAGAAAAACTATTCGTAGAAGTAAGAGAGGAAAGTACCTGCTGTAACGGATATTCATGAGTGTGCTGATAACAAAGTCTTTCAGTCTTTCCCTTTTCCTTTGAGGTACAGATTACTGTGTGGCAGCTGGACATTTTGACATGCCACAGAGGGATAAACAGAGCTTGCAATTTGTGTGAAGTTAATGGCTAGTAAGAGAAAAAAAGTCTGCTTTGAAGGAGGTCTCAGATTCAGGTGTGTGATTTTCCATGTTTTTTTTTTTTCATGCATGTTTTTGTGAATGTATGAATGAAAAACACGCCAAAAAGCGTTTTGTGGAAACTCGCCAGTTTTAAAACGTGTCCCGCCCCCTACCTGCAGATCATTTAGCATTTACCTGACAGAGGCCAGCACGGGGCACACTGCTTCTGCCAGGGTGCTGGAGGTGAACGTGGGTCAGGCGATGTCCAAAATAAGGCCAAAGGGTGCCGATGTGCTACAGAGCCAGAGCCGCACACTGTTCTCTCTCTTAAGTAACACTGTTTCATTTTCATCTCCCTTGTGGGCACGGATTAAATCCTTGGCTTTCATTAACGCAGACGTTTATTTTAAGTACACAACTATGATGCTGTTATGCACTAAAACTGTTGAGATGTATCCCTACTTTAATGTATCCATAACTCTGAATATGCACGTCTGCCTCCGCTGCCGGTCCGGCGGCTGCGGCTCACAGATTGAACAGGATTGAAACACTTTTGACTACTAATAATGTGATACTAATATTAGAACTTGCCTCAGCAGACGGTGTAAAAATGATGGATGTAGCCACTGTGGCGGTTTCAAATCCTAATCCAACTTCAGGATGTGAACGAGCCACCACCCCCCTTCTTCCATCTCTTATGTGTATGCACGGTCTGGGCTGGTTCCAGCTCAGTTCTGCAAGCTGACAAGTCTGGTTCTTTAAGTTTGTTATGTAAAGTTTGATCCCTATTTTTGACACAGGATCTTGGCACGAGTTCTTAGTCATAGAGCTGGTTGTTTAGTTTTTTCATGGTATCTACCTTCTGAAAATATTAAGGTTGAAAATGTTATACGAAATATATTTAAACAAAAGTACGGAGGTTCAGCACCATTCAGCATTTGTGGTCAACTGTGATTTGATATTTAAATTTGAATAGGCCTAATGACTAAGAATGGAATTACATGTCAGCCACACTTACTGCATCCGAATCGAACAGACTCTGGGTGACATGACCTGTCCCCGGTCGAAGAAACAGTCCAAAAGATGGGACATTTCCATCTTTTTGCAACAGAAAACACTTGCTAGCAGATCAGGATTAAGGTGACCTTTTGACGTGTAAGGCAGATGCTTTTTTTCAAATAATGCAGCTGTAGCAGATGGCAAATGGAAGGAATTAACAGCTGCCAGAGATCCAATCGCAACGCTGACCAGCTGATCTGGGCAGGATGCATGCTTTTCACAGGTCTCTTTAAAAAAACTATTTTCCTCACCGTATAGCAACCTAGTGTTCACTGAGAATCGCCCCAAAAGATTTCAGAGCAGGGATTAGAGGGGGGCAAACAGATATGGCAGTTATTTCCTTTTAGTTGTTCTTTGCTTGTAGGATTACGGAAGCTTTGGCACAACACTATATAAACACCCCCGGCTAAAAAGCAAATGGAA